TTTTTGTTTAGTTATTTTATTTTGACATTTACCTTATTTCTTGGATAATTTTATTAGTTTTGACATTTGCTATAGAAAATGTTTTTCTTGGTAGAACAATTTTTTTTTTTAGTTCTGTTGGAGTAATAGCTCTAAATACATAATATAAAACCTAAGTTTCCAAAGGTAAGCTTAAGAAATTAAGTTAACTTCAGTATAGTTCCGCCTAAATACTATTAAATAGTATTTAGATATATTGTAGTTTATGTAGAAGTAAGAGAATATTATTTCGTAGTTCTATACATATGGTTTTTTTTTAATTCCCAGAAGTTAAAATCGAAATTTTAAATAATCGATATTGAATTCGATTATCAGTAAAAATAATTTAAAAACTTTACGTTTTTCAGAAAAATTTAATTTCCGGCCATTTTTAAATCATATATTAAAATATTATTATGGATTCATAATAATATGAATTGTTTAAAAACAAAAATATTAATTTGCATACTAAATCTATATATTTTGTCAATAATTTTCAATAATTAAATCATTAATTTTTAATAATTTAAAATAATTTGAATTTATTAAATAAATTACGAAACAAACCATATTATTATTATCAAAGTATGAAAAATGTTACATAATTGGCTTGGCAAATTATATTAAAGGAAACTGATTAATATGATCGTATTTATTATTAATTATCAAAAATAAACTATATAATTATGTTAACATAAATTTTTAAAAATTTTTGTTTTTTTGTAATTCATAAAATTTATTTATTTTATAACATAGTATTTAACTAGCAATTTAATCGTAAGATTTATAACATAAAATTATATACCTTAAAATTTTCCATATTTTCTTGATTATTTTAGTTTTTTCTTTTGTGCTTTTGCTTTACTTTAATTACCTACTAACACACTTTTTCTTGTTATAATCAAGGTAAAATCTGATGAACATATGATTTAATAAGAAAAAAAAAGAAATATTAAAAGTACCACAACAAAAAAAGTTGAAAATCTACCAAATAATATTTTAATAATCAACCAAAATTTAGAGAAGAACCAAACAAAAAAAAAAGAAAAAAATAATAAATAAAAATAAATTTATTTTTTAATTCTTTTGCATAATAGTGATTTGGTGGGATGACCAGAATTTTTATCTACATACATACATATACATATAGGTAATGATGATGACCCATTAATAAATTTTTAATTCTATAATCAGAAAGCCCGTCAAGTACCAGGGTCAAAATTGAATAGTTTATGTATTTGAGGGAAACAAAATAACAATAACTAATTTTTTTTTAACGGAAATCTAAATTGTAAAAATTTTTTTTTCCTTTACATTTTTATTATTTTACAATTTTTAATAATTAACTGTCTTTAGCTTTTTTTCTTTTTCTTAAATTGTAAAGAACATAAAACTTATCTGTTCAGGTTATTTGAAATTTTTAAGATATTGGTGCTTATACACGAAGGCATATGCTAGCAAATATATACACACTTTATTAAATTATCAAGGTAATTGTTAAGTGGACGTCAACTATATAACCATGATTTTAATTTAACAAAATAATATTATTAAAAACATGTATTATACCATATATCGTTCACACCATGGATAATATTAGTTATAAAAATGAAAAAATAAAAAAAAAATTTAGAAAAAAATACAAGGTAAATCAAGAATTTTGATTGAGCTATTAAGAAAAGAATTTAATTTTTTTTTTTACTTTTTGACCACTAGAAAAAATATTTAGGAAGTTATTTTTATATAACTATGTTTAATTTCTGTTGTTTTTCTTATTAATATATGAATATATACAGACAAGTTATATAATGTATGTTTCAATGTCAAGAAGTTTATTGGGAAACAATATAAATGACACATAGTAAAATAAGCAAGTCATTTAATTTTTACTTTAATCACACAAATATTCCAAAAAAAAAAAAAAATAAAAAATTAAAACTTATAAAGTATTTTCAAACTAATAAAAGACTTTTATTGCTATACTAAAATAAAGAAAGGAAAAAAACAGTATGAATTATCTTTAAAAACTAGATTAAATTACAGTATTTTTTAATAAAACAACAAGTATATCATGTAATTTATATGTATACCTTGTAACAGTAAAAATTTATAATTAAATTAAAGTATTAAAATTAATTAATTTAATTCCCTATACTTTAACCCAAAATAATTATAAAGTGTGAAATAAATATTAGAACTGTGATTTAATAAAAGTTAAAAACAAAAACTTTAGATTTTTAATTTATTATTTTTTTTTTCTAATAATTTTAACCTTTAAATGTTCCGGGGTCAAGCACATTCATATATATGTGTACTTTAGAGTACATTTGTTGTTAAATTTTACTAACATATTGAAAACAGTTGTAAATTTTGATTTGCATGCGTCTTGTTCTTAGTAATGTCGAAAGAATTAAAATGGCTGATAAACTGGTCAGATTGGAGACAGGAGCTGATACTATTGCAATAAATTGGTCGATGCTTCCGCCCTTGAAGGAGTTGAAAAACATTAAAGATGAGAAAACTAAAATGTGTGGAAATTGGTTTAGAATGACGGGCGAACTTGTGCAACGGTAAGAGCCCTGCGGTTGAAAAGGAATGGTGCAAGATCGAGGAAATTGAAATACTTCCTTATCGAATAAATTCCGAGATATCGGGGTGGTGGAGAACGTCTATCACTTATTCTGCGAGTTCTCCGCTCTGATGCGGAGGAAAAAACGCTTTTTGGCAGAATATCAGTTTTCCTGATTGGAGGAGCTTTCCGGAGTGCCTGTAGGTCATCTACTGAACCTTTTCAAGGGACATCAGTAGTGGAAGGAGGTGTGTTGTAGGAAGATGGGCATTTTGGTCCAGTGCTGGGTGACAGCAATCCCACTCTAACTAATTAACTATAACTCCACAAATTGTAAAGGTATCAATCTCTTAAGTTTAAATAACAAATGTGCCAACCTTTATCAAACTCAAAGGCTGTACGTCCAGAAATATTATTAAACATATAAACGCTTTGTTTAAACGCTTTTTCTATAATATTTGTTATTCTGTGCCCTTGATCACTTGTTGCATGCTTCGTTCTAAAACCAAACTGATGGCTTGGAATCAATTTTCTAATTTGTTAAATTCTTAACAACAATTTTTCAAAAAGTTTTGATATCATTGGTAGCAGAGATATTGGTCTATATATACGAAATATATATATATACATATATATATATTTATATATTAAATAAGAACCAAAAAGTAATAACGTTAATACTCGTAAAAGTATTTTCTTAAAAAAGTTAATAAGGCTCTGTTTATTAAATAAATTTTTTAAAATTCCGGAAAAATTATTCACTTCAAATTTAAAAAAAAAATTAAGTATGTACTTTTTAATTTATTAAAAATATTACTAAATTTTGTGTATTTTTGAAATTCTGTTCTGCTATATGAAACATTAAAAAAACAAATGAACTTTCGGCTGTCATTATTGTTTGTATACCGTAAAACACTTCTAAGTGGAAATTATTATACTTCTAAACTAGTGTATACGTAAGTTCTTAATTGTAAAATAAACTTTATTTTTTAATTATTTGTTTATCGTAAAGTCTTTCTGATTTTAAATATCATTTAAATATTTTAAATAAATATATATGTATGTATATCAATAATTATATTGTATGAAAATTTTTCAAAAATCACTTGAAAAAAATTGTTTTTTTATTTTAGTTCTATTTGCTTATATATGCATTTCTAGTCCACCATACTCTGGCAAATTCAACTATTTTATATGCGAAAACTTGATAAGTTTGTAGCTTCTGTTTTAAACCAAACCGTATAGTATGTACAAATATATTATATATAAAATCCAGATTTTCAAGTCCTGTTGATAACCTTTAAATTGCTATAAATAATAAAATTTCTTTCTTCGATTAAAAAGTTTTTAAAAAGAAAAAATATTTCAATTATTTACTGCCGTACAAAAAATAAATATACGATATTATTTTTTATTTATAATCTTTTTATAGGAGGAAATAATATGATTGTAATGCAAATAGCCGTATGTAAATGTTAAAAAAATTCTGACGTCAAAATTGTAGTAACGTGGTATTCACACAAAATTTAAGCATACGAGTTTGTATAACGTCTTGTATTTAATAAATCGGTTACAATTTCAGTTTGGTATAATTGCATATACGAGTATGTATGCATTTATAAGTACATATACACATATGTATTCCCAATGATCAACAATATACAAATGAAATTATTTTAATACTTGAATATCATTTTTTTGACAAAAAAACTGTCAATGTCAATGAGATTCGAGCTCCCTAAATTTTTTTTTTTGGTAGTAAAATTAATTTGTAATTAATTGTCAAAAATTTTTTGTCAATAATACTTACTTGTCAACAATCCACTAACTTTTCACTGTTATTTAAAATTAATTTTATGTAGAAATACATTTCTGTTAAAAATTAACATTAAAATCAATGTTAAAAATTTACTTTAACCGAACAATTTCCATTGATTGGATTTTAAAATATTGCATAATTTTTATAAAATTGCTAAATTTTATGCATACGTTATATACACGTATGCGTACGTTTGTGAATAACTTTATTTAAGAATGACAGACCTTCTTTTAATTTTTAATATTAATTATGTTTTATAATATTTAATTTTAAACAAAATAAATTATAACCCTTGTACTATGATTTACATTCCTTTAATTATATACCCTGTTTGAACAGTAGAATGACAATAAAAGGATTATATATATGTATATTATGTTAACGTTTCAATTTTTCCGGTTATTTTTTGTTGAATCAGTTAAAGAAAAGAAATCACCAGTTCCACCTTCAACGGAAAAGAATAACATAAAAAAAACTGAGAAATGAAAACTAAAGGTTTTATAGATTGTAATCAATTTCAATAATTTAATAAATTATTATAAAAAAAATATTTTTCTTGTTTTAAAATTTAGTTTCTTATCAGAAAGTTGTGATTGTTTCAACTTACAAATGTAAACAAAAATTGAAAGCGATTTTTTAATAATTACTTATGTTGATACTTTTCACAAATTTGGCAAAAACAAAACCTAACCTAAAATTTTTATAAAAAAAGTTTACACCGTAGTTGTTTTTATTGCCGCAACAATATAAAACATCTTAATTTTATTTAACTGTCCAACTAAAATAAGTGTAAAAGTGGTTAGTGAAACTATATACAGCACATTTGCAAGTTGAGAATTGATTTTTTAAATTTTGGTATATTCCTCTAGCTAAATGCGTCTTCACTACATATATATTTTGACAAGCATAAACAGGTGTGTAAATAATTTCATTTAATATGTTTTGTATGTTATGTTTTTTTTTTGTCTTCACTTTATTTTTCTTTTTATGTTTTGCATTTTAGTTTATTTTCTTTTAAAAAGTAGTTAAAATAAATATTTTTGTGCAAAATGAAAAAGAAATGACCTTCATGCCTTTGCAATTCTATACCACATATGTTTTAAAGTGCATCACTTTATTTTTATACATAATGTAAAAATTTCAAAATTTTTTCTACATTATTCATTTTGTTAGATACTGTTATAGAAAAATTTAAGTAAAATTTTATAATAGATTAATATTAACATTATATACGTATACATACATATGTTTGTTTGGAAATATACACTAAATTTGTATGCTAATTCAAGTTTATACACTCATTTACACCTACAAATTTTGTGTAAACACACATAATATATGTATAGTAATATATATGTACAGTAAATATAATGTGTAAATATTATGATATTAAAATTTTTGTGAAAAAAGGAAAAAAAAAATTTGAGTGAGGCGGTATGCGGCCTTTGTAGTTGACTCATTTATACGGCTTCTGTTTTTATTTTGTCATTGTTTTTAATCATAACTTTTATGTACAGGTGACATCTCTATATATGTAAATATAATTTCATAAAATAAAAAGCAAATATTAATTTAAATAATTACTTAAGTAAACACACAATTTAACAAATATTATTAAAAATAAATATGTTTACATATATTTAATACTTGTAATTAGTTAAATTTTTGTTAAAATATTTTTGGGTTTTTTAAATGAGTACAATAAATATTTACTTAAATAAGTTAAAACGAAAATAATACACAAGTATGTGTAAATATTCTAACCAAGAGGAAGTTGTTTTATAGCGATTGTGTGTACTTGCAAATATTTCTAATTTAAAGTGAAATTATTCATTTTTCTTTGTAAATTATTACTTATTATTATTATATAACTTTATTAATTCATAAATTTTAATTTCAATTAAAAATAATATTGAATAAATATATACAGAACATTTAATTAAAAATTATTATTAATTTTTTTCTTTATCTTTAGGTATGTAAAATAAAAATGGAATTATGTTGAATTTTCAAGTTTTTCATATTCTTCATCTAAATCTTCCATAAAATTATAAAAAATATTTTTAATTTTTTCAAAAATTTTCTCTTTCATATATTTTTCTCTAGAAATTTCATCATCATCTTCTGCATCACTAAAAAATATTTTATTATGTAAATCTTCTGAATGTTCAAAATTTCTTTTTAATTCTCGAACAGTTCCATCTAAAAATGTTTTAGTTTTTTTACGATCTGTTTTCTCAAATGTTTCATGATCATCTTCCAATTGTTCTAATAATTCTTTTTGTAATTTCACAGAAGTAATTAATAATGATGGACGATCCTTTGTTGGTAAACGAACACATCTTGTATCTGTGAATTGATTTTGAGTTGAAATTTTTCCTGGACACTCTAAACAGAATATATATATTATATATTTATATATATATGTAGATATATACGAAAACATAGAAATTTCAAAATATATATGTATATATTAAAAAATATTTGTTTTCTTTCTATTTAATTTTTTTTTTATTTGTTTTTTTCTAGACTTACCATCAAAATTAAGAATCCAATTACCAGGATGTTCCCATGTATGTATACCAACATAATTAATTGGAAACATATTTTGTTCTTTATATGTTAAAAATGGTAAAATATCATCATCCCGTCCAATTTCAATAACACCAATTGAATTCCATTTTATCCAAAAACCACGATATTCACCTTCATCAACAATATGTGGTATATTAACTTGTGTTACAGTTTCAAATTTTGATCCTTTTCGTATATATGAATTACCAGCAGCTTGTAAAACTAATTCAATAATCATATTTGATCTTATTGGATTACCACTTAATCCAATAATAGCAGTTTTAGCTCTTACTCTAAATGAAAAACAATTTTCTTGTGGTGATACAAAATATGTATGATCATTTGAATGTGTAGTTGTTACTAAAATGCACATATATAAAAAATTATAATAAATTTAGAAATTTTTTTAACCAAAAATAATATTATAATTATTATTACAATATTATTTACCATTTATTTCACCCGAATTATAATCATTATCATGTTCAATGATCTCACATTGTATTAAATCACCAACTTTTAATTTTAAATCATTATCAAAATTTCTTAATCGGCCATCAAATGCATATAGTGTTGTTTTACTATATTTTCTTGGAAATAATGATCTCCAATCAAATGTATTTAAGGATGTATATAATGGATTATTTGATTTTTCAAAGCATTTATTATTTTGATATGTTTCAATTGAATTACCAATACAGGATAAATCTTCTAAATCATGTGCTAAATTTATTTTGATTTTTTTAAATAATAATATGCAACATATATAAGTTAAAATTTTTAAAAATTTCATTTTAAATTTATGTTTTTTTTTTTGAAAAATATTATAAAATTAAACAATTTTACACAATTTTATTTTATTTGAATGTTAAGAAAACAAATATCTGATCTCAATGAGATTATTTTTAGTACTAAAATATTTTTTAAGTTCTGTCACCAAATCATAGGGAAAGATTCAAATTGTAGAGACAATTATATATCAAATTTCTTATTTAATAATAAAAATAATAATAATAAAAAAATATGAAAAAAGAAACATATGAAAAAATATTAAAAAATTTCATATTGCATAATTTTTTTGCAATTTCGTTCATAATTTTTTTTTGCTTTCAATATGCAATTATAGTAAAATAAAATTATTTAATTTAGAGTTTGTTTAAGTAATTATTTGACTACTTCATTATTATTAATTGAATAGAACTATTATTTTAATTTATAATTTAATTAAATTTTAATTAAAATAAAAATACATAAATAATATTTAACATCTATTCTATTATTTTAAATCTTAATTGCGATAGGTGTTACAAAAATTATGTGAACAAAAGTGCAAAAAAACATAATTACAAATATAATCAATGAAGTTTAATAATTAAATAAAATTTAAAATTAATAATTAATCATAAATATCATATACAGATATTAAGAATATAATAAATGTATTAATTATGTATATATATTGTTTAAAAATATTGAATTGCTAAATTTTAATAAATCCAAGGTGATGAACAATTGAAAAGATATAATATAATATTTTTCAATAATAATTTTTTTTCATAGTTCAAATAAAAATTTAATTCTTTTATAATATTTTCTAAACAATCAAATAATAAAACCTTTTCGTTTTGTTTTTTTTTTTTTTTGTTTTCAAAATAAAACTTTCAAGGTTTTTAAAAATTAAATAACAATATTAAGTTCATATAAAAATTAAAATACTATTGAAATAATAAAGATATTAAAAATATAGGTAAAAGCTTTATCAATTCAAAATAATATAATATTTAAATGGAAAGAGCAACATGACCAATCATAAACAACCTTACCCTATATATTACCAGCTAAAAAGAAAAAGAAATATTGATGAGCCTATTTTTAATTGACTGCATTCATATTGTTAATTAAGCAAAATAGATTGCGAAGATATTTTTTTACAATATTTATGTTTTTTGTTTTTTTTTTCTTTTAATTTTATATATGAAAATATTGTATACAAAATAATTTATTCATCGTTATAATAGCACATCATATTTTACTTAATTTTTTTTTTATTTTTTTGAAGATTTTATGGATTAGTGTACATGGACATGTAATTTTTGTGTATAGTACAGTGGGTACAAAAAAAAAATTTTTTTATATTTAAAAAATTATTATAGTTTTTCTTCATTTATCCACTTATCCATATCATTTAAAAATTTATTACAATATGATTAATGGCACACACATGTGCTACATAAATGCATATTGGAATGTCAAGCATACTGGAACATTAAAGCATATTTGAGATTTCCAAAAAATTGTGAAGCCTTATTGCAAATTTCTAATCTCTATTCGATAAAACTTTTCTTCACGCTGAAACCACATATATTACAATTTTTATCTTAATTCGTTTATTAAATTTTTATTTAATATGATTGACATTTCATATAATTTAAGTTTGTCCATAACCAAACTGCGCAATTTAACATCTATCTATGTAAGAAAACATATTCTTTTTAAAAAAATAGAAAGTCTTTTTAAATTTCCTTTACAGTAAATTTTAAATATGGAGCAAAATAATAAAAATTTTAAACCTATAAAATTTCTATAAACTTGAGTATATACATAATATATATTATGTTCAATATACACTTATAAATGAGTTTTTTATATCTTTACAAGCATGTGTATGTATGTATAAATAAATGTACTTTTTCATATATCAGATTACTTTATATATTTTCCTTTAAAACTATAATATGAGAATACACATACATATGGGAATAGAAATAAAAGTAATAAGTTCATTAATTTTGTGTAAATCAACTTAAAAATATAAAAAAAAAACACTACGCATACTTATATAGCTAAGAAATAATTAATTCACATTGGTAATAAATCTTCAGCATTTAATGTATCATCATCAGAATCTTTACTTATAGATCTTTGAACTTGACCAGTTCGAGGACGTTCAGCTGGTGGCCCTAAAGGATCTGGATATGCACGAGCTAATGTACCTAAAATATAAATATAATGTCTTTAATAGTTTAATTTAAAAAAAATTATTAGTAAATATAACATGTATACGGCTCGAATACGGCAAAACTGTAACTCAAAAATAACTTATTCTTTTATAGTAATATCTTCTGTCATCTACATATTTAAAACTTTATTTTGAGAGTTAACGATTTTTGAATTGCTACAGTTTTCCCGTAATCAGGCCATATGTTCCGTGAATACTATAGTAAATGCGTTTATACAATGATGAGATGTAAAAGAGATATAAAATATTTTATTACCAAAACTGTCGTTTGATTTTAGTGATCCATATTCGTTACTACCATTAGAATTTTTGATTGATTTAGCTGTATCCAAACGTGGTGCTATAATACAAAAATTATTTAATTTTATAGCAAATTCAGTTAGAAACACAAAAGAAAAAAATAACAATAATAAATGCTTACTACTTGTCCCATTTCGATTATCAATTCTTCTTCCGCTTCGTACTCTTTCAGCACTTTGTTTTTTTTGTATTTTTTTTTCAATTCTCGCATAATCAGCCGAATATTTTTCATGTAAGTCCATCATTCCTTGAGATTTTGTAACATGCATTAATGCTCTTAAACATGATAAATTTTCTGGAAATCTTGCATAAATTTTTTCAAATAATCCCAAATAACTTTTTGGTGAATGCATATGTTTAAAACAACTAGCAACTCTTAGCATTAAATTTGGATCATTGGGATTTGCTAAAACTGCTCTTTCATAATAATAAATTGCACGTTCAACAGCTTGTAACTTAATATAGTAAGAACCAATTGATGATGCGATACTAATATCACTTGGATTTATACGATATGCTTCATTGTAATATTGATTTGCCTCTTGACGATCATTAAAGCCTTCATAAATTTCACCGACTTTTTGATATAATTTCGAATCCATTTCATTTGAAATTCCCAACAATTGCAAATAAGAATCCAAAGATGTTGAACTACTTGGATCTAAGGTTTCTTGTATTTTAGCTAGCTGATAATATACATGTGGATGTTTTGCATGTGACATACTTTGTTTTATTTTATTGAAAATTTCTTCTGCCTCATACAAATTACCAGTTAGTTTCATTACCAATCCTAAATTATAATTTGCTTCAAATGATGTCATATCTATAGCCAAAGCAGATTCCAAATATGATTTAGCTTTTTCATAATTCCCTTGTAAAATGTCACAAACTGCACTATTAATAAATGCCGCCGGGTTATAACTATCAATTTTTCTACTTTTTTCAGCATATATTTCAGCATTTTGAATATCCCCCATCTTAAAATAGAAATATCTTTTAAAAACATTTTCTTAATTAAAACGAAATTTAATTTAAAAATATTTTACACAAAGATATATAAATGTTAAATTGGTAACAGCGTTAGCGGCCATTGTTGGTTCTTTTTTTTCATAAAATTTCAATGTTTCGATAGCCTGGTTAGTTTCATTTTGCTTTAAATACACTAAAGCTTTATTCAATTCCAATTCATTTGCTAACCAAGAAAAATTTGATGTCTTAATAATTTCAATGCACCATGTATAACCTAGAAAATATTTTAAATATTTTTTTTTCCTTTGTATTTAATATATCACTTACCCTCGTTAAAATTTTCTTCAATTATTGGTGATATCAAATCAACAATCATAATTATAGATTTTTCAGCTTCTTTTTTCTTTACTTTATAATACTCAGCTAATTCATCAGTTCTGATTGATTCAAAAACATAACGGTTGGCTTGTGTTTCTTCTAAATCTGCATGTAATGGCATATCATCCTCATTATCTAAATGTACTTCAACCAAAGCTTTGAAAGCACTTTTTATTTTTTCTATGTCTCCGATTGCATAGTAACAAAGTACTAAATGAACTCCACTCTTAACGTCTGCTCGTTCCGACATTATATATTCAAAACTTGCTGCAGCATCTGAATATTGCCCCATTTTAATAAAAAGAATACCAATATTATGAGTAATTTTCAATCTTAGTTGCTTATGATGATTTGAAACTTGATCCAAAGCCATTCTATACATTTTAATTGCTTTTTGATAAATTCCCATTTTAAAGTAAATATTTCCCATATTCATTTTTAAGCGATTTACATTTGGAAATGTTTTGTTCTTTGTCATTGCAGTGAAAGTATTAAGTGCTTCAATGTACATTTCATTTTTTGTATATTGATTAGCCAAATTGAAGAACACCTTGCAAAATAATAATGTGTTGAAGCAATTTTAATAGTATTTGATGAGCAAGTAACTTGTAAATTAAAAATATTCTTTTCTTACCGAATATGTCAAATCATAATTATGAAATGCCGTACCACCATTTTGATCTCGCAATCGGATGAGAGTGCGATCTAAGGACCAGGCTTCTTTAGCTTTGTTGAGAGCTTCTGTATTGCCAGAATTACCAGAGCCAGCTAATATTGACTCTTCTAATAAATTTTGAATTTTTTGTTCAAGATTTTTGTATTTTTCCTGAGGCCTACAAAAATTATTTTCAGTTTTAATTAAAAAATGTTAAGCTTTTCTAATATTAGGGTATAGATAAAATATATTTTTTGGCTAGATCTCACTCTAAACTTTTCCTTTCACCAATACTAGATTTTTGCCGAGATGTCTTGTGACTTAGCATTGGATCAAAAACTTTTCCTGCTTCAGAAGTATAACCTACAGCTCTAACTGCTGTAGATGGTCTCGCAAGAAATTGACCTACAGCTGGTGTCTTAGGATACGCACTTCCTATGTTACCACGCTGTAACCAAATATTTAAATATTATTTGAAATTTAAGTTTTTCTAATAATTACAGAATAAAGATTTGAAGCAAATCTATTCCTATCAGCAGTCATAACAGGTGCAGCAGAATAATTTGCATGTTCTTCAGCGCTTTCCATATCAAAAAATAGAGTATCCATTGATGGGTCCAAAAATCCTGTTGCAAACATTTTTTTTTGGTTTTATAACTCATATAATAAATAATTTGAAATAGCTATACCATTGTAAATTTGTTCTGCTTCTTCCAAAAAAGCCTTAGCAGCTTTATAATCCATTTTTTTTTTTTTTGATTAAATTTTATTATAAAAATTCAAGAATTACTTTTTTTTTTACGACTTTCTATTAAATCGATTAGAAAAGAAAACTCTTTTGTTTTTAGTACAATGTTTCCACAGTAACGGTAAATGTCAAATATCAAAACAATGGATATGAAACAGTACTTGTAGCGCCATAGTGGCTATTTTTTCGTTCCTCTCGTTTTATATTTTTTCGAACTGTTAAATTATTCATTATTAAGGAATTCGTATAAATATTATCGCGATCATTTCTTTAGGAATGAATTTGTTTTTTTTTTGCTTTTTTTTTTAATAATTTTTGATATCATTTAGCCATTTTCAAAATATTGTTATTGAAAATTTATTCAAAAACATGTAAAATTAAAAATTTTTTTTGGAATAAAAGTGATCAACGAATGGAATATATTAAAATTTAAAATATGGTTTATGTCCAAACTAATACATAATCACATTTTTGAACATAATTTACAATAGTGACTGCTAAGTCAAAATTAGAATTAACATGGTTAAATAAGGAACAAAGCAACATTTCATAAATTTATTGAACATGGGTCGGTTGCCAGTATGTCAAAGATTTTACGATCATATTAACCACGTAATTTGTTTTAATAAAACGGAAATTTCAAATTTCAAAATTAAAATATCTCCTTGGTCATTCACATGAAGTCACATATAAAAATCACATAGTCATTAATCTTTATTCAAAAAAGAATAATAACTAACGTGTATTATAATTTATAACACGTACGTCGCGTTGGAATTCATGACCATGTACGGTCACTGATATACAGCCACCTATATACATATATGCAGATTACGTTAACCGATAGCCACTATGGACCACTAATAGGGAAGTATTAAATTTAAATTTTTTAAATTAAAAAAAAGAATTAATTAAACACATGATTTAGTTTAGTTTTTCTTCAACTATTTATTCTAATAAAATATTAGAAAAAGCGATAGATTTTTTAACAATTTTTTTGTAATTTTTTTTTTAATGTTTTTATACTTATAATTATGTATATTTTTTTTTTTCAAAACTTTTAAATTTCTTAGAGTGTTAATATAAAGTTTTCAATATTTCGTTTCATATAATATATAATTTAAATATTTATGGTATGTATGCAAGTATCATCTAAAATGTCTCTATAATAATCTCTATACTAATGTATCTTTTATTTTTTAATCTAATTATAATTGTTTCGAAAATTAATTTCAATAAATAAAGGTATAGATGTGTGTCGTGCATCCTTCTTAATATTTATTTTAAATTCTTACAATTCAATGTTTTTCTTTCATGTATGTATACTTATGTGTATAATAATTCAATCTCAATTCATATTATAGATAATGAAATTTTTGGACGCTTATTAAAATTATTTAAAAAGAAAAAAAAATCTAATAGAAAAATTTATGTTAACCCGTTATTGGAAGAAGAATAGATTTTAGAAAGACATCCCTAAAATTAAGGAATATCAATCCCATTATCAAGATTTCATTTTAAAATTTTCTTATAAATATCACAATTTGGTTTTTTTTTTTCGATAATCTAACACATTACTTTAGAAAAAAATAAAACGGAATTTTATCCATAATTTTATTTAAAAATTAAAAATTTTCACAAATCTTTAAAATTTTTAATTAAAAATTCTTTTAATAAATATTATTTTTTTGCAAAGATATGAAAGACTTGAAATATAAAATTAGTAAAGCAAAATTTATGTATATATATATATATATATTCCAAACCTAAGCCTAATATACATCGTACGCAATATAGTTTTATATAAAATTGTATCAGTTTTTAAAAAATAAAGCGAAATTGTGCAAGAAATTACAATGTAGACTAGTATTTTTTTTTTTGTTTTTTGATATAGTAGACTAGTAAAGAATATCAGTAGTTTGCTTATTTTATGATTTTAGTATTTTAAAACACTAAAATCATAGATATACATGAATTCAAAAATAACTTACTTTTATTTATTTCCTGTTCATCAATTCAATTAATATGAATAACTACATTATATTCCGTTGAATGGTCCCAAAGAATATTATAAAATTAAATTTAGATTAGATTAGAAATTTCATATTAAATTTACACTTTATTGTTATTTTTTGCTTATTAAAATTGCCTTTTTTCATTAGTAACTTGAAGCAAAAAGACTAGAATTAAGAATAAAGATTTTTGACCTTAACTTGAAGTATCCAAACTTTAACTTAAGCAATATTTTACAATTATTTTTGTATATGTATACATTTTACAAAAAAAAAAAATTGTATTATTATTTTAACATTATTAATAAATATTTTAGCTCTTCTCATAATAAATATATATTTTTTTGTTGTTGTTGTTGTTGTTGTGCGCGATAGAAAATAATTCTTGCTAAACATTTTTGTACAACAAAAATTTACTATTTTATTTAAAAAGTTCGTCCAAAAATTTTAACAACAGTTTTAATAGATCTAAATTAATGTTTTATTATCTTAAATCTAAATCTAAAATTTTTTAAGTTAATTTCCATCATAAATATATTTATGTATTTTATATTTCCTTCAGTATTTGTTCCCTCTACATATTTTATTTAAAATTTAATCCTTATTTTTTTTTTTAGATTTCGATATTTACTTCTAATACAGTAATATCACAAAGTTTACAATTTTTTATCCAGAAAATAAATATAAAGAATAAAATTGTATCCTAATTGTAAGCGAGGCCGTTGTTTTTTTTTTATATTTTTTATATAAAATAATAATAATTTAGTTTATTGTTTCTTTTTTTAACAAGAAAAACTTGAATATTTTCTTGTAGTTTAAAGATAAATTTTTTATACTTATTATTATTATTTTAAGTTTCCATATTATGATTAATTATTTTATGGAAAGTTTTGGTAAAATTTTAATTGCTAATAAAGCACCTTATATAATTATGTATTTATTATTTAAAATTTGTTTGATTGAGTTTAAGTTTTTTATATATTATTTATTTGTGATAAAACAGTTTGTGATATCTTTTACAAAGAATTTAAAGCAAATTTATATAATTTTTAAACTTTCGACCAAATAATCTAAAAATGGCATATTCTAAAAAAAAAATCTGAAAGCCATTACTTTTTTTGGCTACTCTAATTATTTTGTATTTTTATAATGTTATTTAATCATAAAATTCTCTAATTTTTGGCTAATATAATTCGCAAAAGCTTTGCTACTTAAACAATATTATTGAATATTTTACTAATAACTTTTTCATTGATTTAATAATTTTTATTTTGCATTTGCATTGAAATTTTGTAAGTAAAATTGATTAAATTGCAATTAATTAAATTTGTTTAATTCAAACCGAAATAAAATTTTATATATTCTTATTTTCCTCATTCAATATAATTTTTTTTAATCCATCCCTTCAAGCATATACATATTTAATTGTTCTCGTTTTATTTCTAAATTAAATACGCTAAGATAAGGAACATTTATCTTTACTTGGCTGTGTAACTGGAACAGGATCTTGTTGACGGGCTAGTCTTTCTCTATTTGCTTGCTCATCCAATTCCATTATTGATAGTGCCATTGCATGAGCTAAAGCTTCATCTTCAGTCTACAAAATATTTTTAGTTTAATGAATATAGAACATTTAAATATGGATGCAATGAAAAACAAATTTTTTTTTTGTACTTACCATACTTCCTTGGATATTTTGCGCCAAACTTCCTGCATTTGAAGGAGTATTATTGTTTGAAGAGTTAATTGACTTTGGGTTTGATGTAACATTAGTTGCAGTTTTAAAAACTCCATTAAATCCACTGGGTCTAGTTTTTCTTTGTTCAGCTGCATTACTAAAATAAAGATAAAGATATTTATTTTACATAAATAAAATAAAAGCAGTTTAATTTATAATAAAATTTAATAATGTGTATATATACTTACGCTGCTGCATTTCTTTGTGTTACTTGAGCTCCTTGGCATTCATGATCGGTGATGTGCCGATGTTTTAAACAATAATTGATATGACAATCAGAACATTTGAATGGAACAAGTTCTTTTTTTTTGCAGTTTTTATAATTACAACGATTTGTAAAAATTTTTTTTGTTTCAGATTTACAATATCGATCGATATGTTCGCTTACACTTAGATCTGGTGGGACATCTCTTGGAGTTGGGACAGGATCATTACATAGAGGGCATACGGGCACTTGAACACTTTTTTGATGAGCTGATGGACAAGAATGTTTTGAGTAACTAAAATGTTCTAAAATAAAGAAATTAAGGACATTAAAAAAAAAAAATAATTTAAATAAATTTCAATTCAAATATAATTTTGTTTTACCTGAACAAAATACTGAATTACAAGAATCGCATTTCATAGGTAGAAAATCTGAAAGGAAAAAATTAATAAATATTAATTTATTATTTATATATATGTATGTATATGCAAGAAAATGCAAACTTAATCATTTAAAATGCAAACTTATTTTTCGTAAATGCAAACTTAATCATTTTAAATAGTTCACAAAAATTGAAACACGTTTTGCTTATTTAAAAATTCTGAAATTTCCATTTTAAAGCAATAATACTTGATTAATCAAGAATTATTTTCAAATATTGAATTTTATATTTTCCTGAAGGTCAAAATTTTCACTTAACGTATAATTTAATCAAAAATATAGTTGAATAAAGGCCTATATATACATACACCTGCACATTCAATACGTTTTCTTAATCATCATAGGTGGGTAGGTACTATACATTTAATCCAAAATGAAAAAAAAGTACCAGAAAACGTGCTAAAAAGAGATTGAATAAAAGTCATAACAATAAAATGCATGCGTTTTTTGTTTATTTTCTCTAAAAATAGAAATAAGTAGACACCTAACTTTTAAACTTGAAATATAAAATCTTGAACTAGTTGAATACAATTGATATGTATAAAATTTGCTTAATAATAAGTAAATATATCTACCTATACAAATTTTTTTATAAAGGTAGATATTGAGGTAGAGGTACACACAATTTCAAGTCCTTTATTCCCCCAGAAATTTATAATTCAGAAAATAGGGTGTTAGAATTCATTTTCAAATATTCTTCATTCTAATACTATTTTAAGTTGATAAAAATCTCAATTTAGATTCTTTCTTTATTTATAATACGAGTATAATTTTTATAAAAAATTATGACCAACAAACCAAACGGGCTGGGGGGTTGGTTCTCTTCAAATTGCAAAAGCTAAAAAAAATTTTAATACAGGTAAATAGGTACACAGGTATAGTTAACTATAAAGATACAAATTTAGAATTTTAGATATAAGTAGGTATGCAGTACGTACATTATATTTAAATTTGTAATATCAATTTTGTGTTATAAAAAGAAACAACAAGACGAAGGAAGGAAGATAAAACAATACGATTAAAAAGAAAGAAATACAAAAAAAAAAATGTATAAAAAGCTAAATAAGTAGGTAGGTATGTATATAAGTGGGTATAAGGAAAAAGCAAAACTTGCTTGCTTTTCAAGGATAACTTTTTCTAAATAACATCCTTCTCATGGGAATTTGCTAGTCATACACACTTACATAAACATAAATAAATAATACTTATAGGTAGATAGGTAGGTTATGTATCAAAGGTATCATATAAACAATTGTCTCTATACGATGTGCATATAATTATATTATGTATTTACTTACATATATATCACAATATTTAAGTTAACAGAATAAATATAGACTCCGGGGATTATTGTTTAGAAATTTAGCACATCAAACAAAGCTACATATAATAGTTAGGTGCCTATTTGTCTTCGTATATTTTCTATATGAAATACCTACATACTCGTATGTATATATGTACAAGTTATATACGTAAACTTTTTAATGCATAAGAAAATGAGTGTAAAATAGAATTTTAATTGGAAATTCATATTTTAAATAAAAACAATGGCATGATTTGTAAATGTTATGACGATTTATGAAAATATTTGTTGTAATTAAATAATACTTATAGTTTTTACTTACCTAATTTATTGCACGATTTTTCAGAGCAATGTTTTCCAAGGTGGGGAAATTCCATTTTAAATTGAGTTTTGTACTAATTTTTTTTTTATTTAAAAAGATAAGAGTATATTTTTGTTATTTAATAATATTACGAATTTTTTTTTTTTTGGTTTTGAAATTTTATTATTTGTGTAGAGCGTTGGAGAAAAAATTTAGAGGTCTGAAGGTAAACTAAAATGTGTTTAAATTTTCTTGTTTGCTTGTTACTTATTTTTTTTTTATTTTCTTTTTCACAAAAATTTCTAGTATTTTTGAAACTTTATATAATTTATTATATGACTTTCACTTTTTTTTTTATGCAAACTTCATTTATTTTACTTTCCACGAAAAGCACCAAAATATTAATGACGAAATTTTCAGGAACTTTATTGAATTTATAGGAAAACCGAATAAATGACGGTGCGAAAATAATCAAAACAAAGAGTGACGTCATCCTTCATAAAAGAGCTGCCATTACTTTAAATGATCGAGAATCGATATTCAGCGCTTCTTGTGGTATAAAATTTAAGTAAAAAATATATTTCAAATTTAACCCTACAGGATTTCCTTTTGCAGAAATTATTTCAGAAAGATTTCCGAACTAAAATGAATTATAAGATGTTTTGAAATAATAATGTCAATGCTGCTTTCAAAATTTTTTTGACATGGAACAAATTTCATTTTTGAAATTCATACTTAAAACCCATTTCATGTTTGGTATTTCTCTTTAAAACATAATATTATAATCTAGAATTTTCTATAAGATGAGTAAAACATTTTCTTTCTAAAAATATATTTAGACTAGAAAAATGAATGAAAGCAAAATGTAGATATTATGTATTATAGATAGTAGAATTGAAATCAACTATACTTTCCTTAAAAATAATGAAAACATAATCAACAAAACGTTAATTTATTTATAATTATTATTTAATATAATATTTTTTATTCAAAAAGTTTCCTTAAATTAAACATAAAATTTTATATAATTTCTATATAATTTCATAAACTCAAATTTTGTTAAATTCGAATTGATTTTCGTTTAAAACCATTCATTGAAGACATTAAGCTAATTCACAATTATGAATTTTTAAAATTATGAGCAAAAAAAAAATGTAAAATAATAATTATAAAAGTAAATAAGCTAAAAAATAAATTTTTTAAATTAAAAAATAAAGTAAATTATTAAGAAAATTAATGAAAACGCCATTAGCTTAGAGTTATAAATAGTTTTAAGCAAGTAGCATAGCAAAAAGTAACAATTTCAAATCATGTAGATTAATTTAGTATCTTATTTTCTTATAATTTTTTCTTTATAATCAAAAATTACAACGTTGAAAAAATGTTTATTCTATATTTAATAGTGAAATATTGAAATGAAATTACAAATTAATCTTATTGAATAACAATTACAACGTTAGAAATTACAAAAAAATATTATTACAATATATCTGTCAAAAAGACTATTTTATTTCTATCACATTTGTCACTTTAAGTTACAATATTTTACTTATTATGAACATTATGATCAAAAGATAAATGACAAATTTGACATTCTAAATATGTGTTTTTTATTTTCAACATTATTATGTTGAATTATTATCATTCGAGTATATTATTCATGATATTACAAATTATTAGATGCAACTCATTATATAAAAATAATTTATTATCGAGTCATTTTTCATTCATTTAAAATGTGACTAGAAAAATGTAAATGACAGAATAAATTGACAAAAAATGTTAACTTACAAGAGAATAGTAACTAAAAAATAAGAATAGTAAAATATATAGGCTCATCTAGATATATTTTTTTTTTTGTTAAATTAGTAATTTAGAAATAGTATTCATATTATATATTGTAAAACTAGCATTTACAATGAAAATTTTTATTTTTAAATCTTATATTAAGTTACCATTTTTAGCAATTTTAAAAAATTGAAAAATCTTGAAAAACACCAGATACCGAATATCGAAAATTATTTTATCATTCTATATTATTAAATAATTGTGCCAATAATTATTATGAAATTAATTAAAATGTCGACAATTTTACCGACAAAATGTAATTATATATCAAGTAAAACTGGTTTTGCTTCTTTGGCACATTTTATCATTGATTGCATTAATTTAACGAATCCAGTATCTTTGGGCTTTTCAAGACCACGTAAAACTCGATTTTTCATAACAGATACGAATTCTCGATTACTCAGTTGACCATCCACTAAAAAATAAATTAATATAATTTAATAAAAATATGTTTTTTTATCCTTAAAGATTTTATGTTTATACTTACAATCTTCATCAAAAATTGTGAATACAACATCAATAACATGATCGGAAAGATCTACCATAGCAACTGTTTTAGCTACATGTTTTAAAGTGGCTTGATCTATAGATGCACCAGCAATATGATAAAATGTTAAAGCTGTATCAACATCATTTATATTATTCAAAAAGTGAAAGAAATCTAAATAATCTTTTTTTGAAATTCCTTTGCCATGCTCACGGAAACGTTTTTTGACACGTTTTAGCTTTTTTGTTTTCTTTTTTTGTGGATAACCAGCATAAGCTAATAACAATTCTGCAAATTCAACTTCAGTTATATTACCATTTTCATCGGGATTTTTTCTTGAAAATTCCAATGATAATATTTCACGTTGCAATTGATATTGAAATTCTAAGAATTTTTCAATTGTCAATTTTTTATTTAATTGAGGTCCAAAAAAGAAATGTGTTAGAGCTGAGTTGACACCCTTAAATATATTATATAGGAAGAACAAATTTTCGTTATCGAAAATTCATTTTGAATTAAACAAATTTTTTCAAAAAAATTTACTTTAAATGTATTTCCTGTATTAGCATGATCGCGATGACGATTTCCAATACTAGTTTGTTGACGTATTAAATTAGCTACCATTTCAAATTCTTCACAATCAACTTCACCATCTCCATTTAAATCGAACATTTGAAAAGCTATTTCAAAATGCCTTCTAGAAGCTATAAGAAAAGAATAAAAACAAAAAATAAATTATTGAATGAAAGTACAAAAAAAAAAAGAGTGCGGACACATATTAAGTTTAAATTGAAAGAAGCAACAGATGATACCGTTATTATAATAAAATTGCCCCCGCTTTTCACTTAAAATTTATATTTTTTGATAAACTATAAAATATAGAGCTATTGCAAACTTTATTGCAATTTTTCTAAGTTATATATATATATATAAACAGAAAAACAGAGAGAAAGAGAACCAAAAAGAGAGCAAGCGCATAAAACAGTGAAAATTTTTATTGTGTTCATATAGGAAATTTTCTCTCACAGGAAAATTTCTATAATTTTTCTTTAAGTAATATGAAATAATATGGAATAATATTATTTTTATTATGTATATTATTTTAATTTAGTATATGAGACTCATACCGTACTATGTAGTAATATTATTCTTATCATATCTTAGTATTGCCATTTTACTAAAATAGTAGAGAAAATACATTCATATGTACATACTTCGTAATTTTTGTAAAATTTCGCTGGAATTTCGGAGTCACAGTTATTTATGGAATTTTAATATTTTTATCATTAATGCACTTAATATAGCTTAAGATTAAGATAAGTTTCTAGTTCTATATTTTTTTTTTATTTTTTATTTTAAAGCAAATGCGTCTTTCATATGACATTATATAGTATGGTATATAAGTGTAGTATTACATAGTATATATATATTATTTTATTTTATTAAATTGACATATTTTGTTTTACTATTACATATTTTAATTTTTATTAGTTTATATTTACAAATAATTGTGAAATAATAGCTCTATATATTATAGCTATAAGACTCATTGTTTTCAAAAAATTTCCATTACAATTAATAAACCAAAAAAAAATAATAATAATAATTTTGTTACAAGATAAATAATAACAGATTTCTCAATAATAAAAGATTTCTTTAAAAATAACATAAAAATAAAAGTTACTTAAAAAAATTTTTTGATACACAATTGGTTTTTGAGTTTTAATTTTTGTTTTGGCAACACTAATCCGTCACAAACACACAAATACACAATATCACTTCAACACAAAATTCAAATTTTCTCAAAACAAATATTTATGCTCTTAAAAAGATAAGAGAAAGAGAATATACATATTGTATTTGTATAGAGAATTTTAAATGTACCAAAACGAAAAGAAAAAAAAAATTAAATAAAAATCCCAAAACAATAATAAGAACTTTCACCGCTGTCGCACTTATCATTTCCTAACATTATATTTTAAAATTAATAGAAAAATAATAATAATTATTTATATATTTTACGAATCTATCATATAACCAACATCTCTCTTATATAAAAGTACATACACATACATAAATAAATAAATCGAAAAGGAATGAAGTTATCACCAATAAAATAAAGAGAAAAAAAAAGGATATTTTTCTGATAGAAATTTCTTAAATAAATATCTGCTATATATAGCAAATATATATGTGTGTATGTGTTTATGGTGAAAATATATAGGTAAATATAACAACAAAAAGCAAAAAAAAAAATTTACTTTTTGTATATATTTCGTGTTCAATCTAAAATTAAATTCAGTAAATTTTCATTTTCAAACAGCTTTACACCACAACACAAAATAGGAAAACAAAAAAAAAATAACAGAAAAATAGAAAAAAAATTAAAGCAACAAAAAAAAAAAAAAATAACAAAAAGGATAAAAAATTTTTTTTTTGCAAATTTTTTTTTAAAGTCGGTTTTTTCTTCTTTTCGTTTCTCCTTATATATTTTTTAGGAAAAATTCATACATACATATATATATATATATATATATATATATATATATATATATACTATAATTTTCCATTTATATATTTTTATTATTTTAATACGAATTAAAAAAGAAAAAGATTGCATCAAGTGTTTTATTTTTTTTTTTTTCAAATTCACTTTTCCAGAATATTTTAAGTGAGAATTTTTAAAAATAAATAAAAAATTAAAACAAAAGAAAAATATATATTAATTAAAATTTTTTTTAAAATTTTTATTTTTTATATATACCTATGTACATACATGAAAATTAAATAAAAATCAACAAAAAAAAAAAACAAAACAAGAAAAAAGGAGTGCCAAAATTAAAGAAGGGGGGAAAACTTAAAATATGATTCAAAGTAAATATATATATTTTATGAATATATGTGCAAATAATATATATCACAGTATTATTAATAATGCTTATAATAATAATTTTAAAATAAAGAAATTTTGCTTTAGAAAAAGCAAAAATTTTATTATTTAAATTTCAAGTTTTTAAAAATTTTATTTTGAAAAACCCCTAGATAAAAATTAATATAAATAATATATCATAAATAAATAATAATATAATTTTACATTTCGCTATAATATATATACATATTAAGAAATTCAGTATATACATGTATATATATAAGCAGTATATATATGCATATACAAACTGATTCTAACAAAATATAATAGATAATATAAAAAAAAGGTATACTTGCTATATATATACATATATACAAATCCACTATTTATTATATTCTATATAAATCAAAATTAAATATATATGTATATATATATATATATATATATATATATATTTATATATATATATAATATGTATAAATACAAACTTTAAGTACATACATATGTCAAAGTTGAATTTGCAAAGAAAAAAAAATTATTTTTTTTTAAAGTTATGTCAATATTTACATATATTTCTCCGTTTCCTATACACAAATTATTATTTCATATGTATATTATAGAGAAAAGATGATATATATATATATATATATATATATATATACATAAATAATATATATAATTAATACATAATACAAAATTGCCTATGCACATTTATATATACATATATATTACATAAAAGATATATTTTTTGATATATAAGATATATATATATATACATATATATATATAAATTATGTATTTACTTGAATACATAAATTTTGATAGGAAAGAAATTAATAACAGAAGGAGAAAAAAAAGAAAAATGAATATATCATTTATATAAAATAAAAAAAAAAAATACATGTATAAGTGTATATAAGAATATATATGTATATGCATGTATGTAATGTGAATTTTTATATATGTAAATTTATAACACATTCAACAAGGTGTTGGCGTTTGTTTTTTTTTTTTTTTGCTTTGGTTCTGGTTTTTTTGTTCTCTATATATAGAATGTAATGTGTTGGTTTTTTATGTAAAAAAAATATATATGTATATATATATATATATAAGTATTTTTGCGTGAATAAATTACAATAATATTTTTGTAATATATATAATAAATAATATACAATAATAAATATATATATATATATATTTATATATATATATATATATATATATATGTATTATTGATATATATATATGAGATATACTCTTCTATAAATTAAATTAGAAATAAAAAATTAATGTTTATAAATTATTATAAACATAAATATTTTTCCAATTAATTTCACTTTTTTTATGTCAAAACTAAATAAATTGTGTTCTTAAATTATTTTTCCAAAATATTAATATATATCCGAATATATGTGATATTGGAATTTTAAAAGATTTTCATAAAAAATTTTTATAATTGCCCAAGCTTTTCTTTCATCCGAAATGGGAAGATTTCACGCAAACAGTTTTTGAAAGAGTAGAATCAAAGAGTTTGAAAGTAATATAAACCTTGAATGCAACCTGTATGAGATCTTGAAAATTTTCACATTTCAATTTCTAAATCTTCTATCTATATAGTATGGGTAATATATACAATTATAATTATTAAATCATTTTAAATTTATGGCCGTATATATATACGTACGTATATATGGAAATATTTAAATATACAAAAAAAAATCATGTATATATATCTATATATATGTATATATACAATTTTTTTAAAGTATTATTTTAAAACGAATTATATCTATATAAAACTGATATTATCTAGTAATATACAATAATTACATAATTATTGTAATTAAAAAAAATATATAAATAATTTACATTGTACATATCCATATATATAATTGAATACATATGCTTATACAAATATAGTTTACGAGTATATTATAAAAAAAAATTGATTTTATAATTGACATTTAATCACTTTATGAATATAATACATACATAAGTACGTGCATATACATTCATTGTTTATATTTATAAAAAAAAAAAATAAACTTTTTTGCAAAAGAAGTATATGTATATATATGTATATATATATGCACATAAATACTTATAATTATGAAATGCAATTTTACAAAAGGTAAAACAAAAAATGATTTTAATTGCGAATTTTCGTTTAATTGTTCCGATGATAATTTATTATATATACATATATATAGATATTATATATGTATGTATATAATAGACTTATAATAAACCTATAAGTATTTAAGAGAAAGAAAAACAAAAGAAGATTTCTCCACTATATTACTATTTTTTCTATCTTGTCAATTTTATGGATTTATATAATAACATTTTAACATCAGTTGGGTATTCAACAATATTAGACAATATACCACTATTAAATTAAAATGTTTATATATAGATTAAATTTTATAAATTAATTTATATTTTTATATATAAATTAATAATTAAATTTTTATATATAGAATGAGTTCTTCTAAAAGTATGCAAAAAATTTTCAAATTTTACAAAATTATACTTATAAAATTATTATAGAGAATTTCATTTGAATTAAATTTAATTTTAATTTAATACAACAGTAAGCATATATATATATATATATATATATATATACTATATATATATATTAATATTATATATATACATATTATTCGCTAATTCCTATATTATGGTATGGCAGCATATATATATATAGCATTTTTAAAAATTATTTTCATATTATTAATAAAAATCCTTGAACTTTCAAAGTATATTAAATATATGACAATATATATTAATATATATATGAATTAAAAAAAAATTCTACTTAATCCTTGAATTATCAAAATTAAAATATTATTGAAAAAACAAAAAAAATCATTAATTAATTTAAATAAAATAATTTTGCAAAATATATATGTATATATATATATATATATATATATATAATATGATATATATATATATATATATATATATATATATAATATATATATGTATATATTTATATATATATAGAATAACAAATTGAAAAATTTTAATCTTCCATAAATATTTTTAAGGATCTTTATGATTAAAAATCCATAAAATTAATTCTTAGAAATAACAAAAACTTTCAATTATAATTAAAAACAAAAATACACATATAATAAATATACATGTATATACATATATATTTTTCTAATTAAAATTGAATAAAAAACCAAATTCCTTTTCAATTTAAAGCGAAAAATTTTTAGAATAGAGGCCAAAAGAACAAATACCAATACTATAATGTACAACTAAGTTTTTCTTTTTTTCTTTATACTCATTATAAATTAAAAATGTGACAAGTACTAATGATGTGGTGTTATATATATACTATATATATATACTCGTATATATATATATATATATATATCATTAAAAAATATTTTTAAATTAATATATAAAAGAGCAAAATAAATATGAACATATTATTCGCTAATTCCTATATTATGGTATGGCAGCATAGAAAAATTTAAATTATTTTTTTTTATATACCTGGTAATGCTTTTTTTTTCTCTAATTGAAATAGCTATTACACATACAATTAAGACATATTTAATATTGAAATTATAGATTTTATAAAATATATGAATCGATTCATCAAGGTATCAAGTAATATACATACATTATTAATATTTAATTAAAATTGGTTTTTATTATATTTATTTTTTTGCAATAATTTTTTAATACAATAAAAAGAGATTTGAAGAGTCAAATTTTTAAGCTGGTTTTAAAATTTTTCTTCAAGTTTTTCAAAAATTATATTTAATCTTGTTTAATGAAGGCTTTGTATATAAACGATATTTTAATAATTCAAATGAATTGATTAGAATTCTTTATAATTTTTTGTAATTATATAGTTCGTACATTATTATTTAGTTATAATTTATAGAGATATCGGCTTGATTTACTATAAATTTTTTTATATATACATACATAAATGTAAATCATAGTTTATATACAAAAATTTTAACAAAAATTTAATATGGCGTTTATTCAGTTTCCATTTTATATAACTACATGTAGATTTTATGTACACATTGTAGACTTATAAAATTTCACACTTTTTTAACAAAAATAATTGATTCTATATATATAAATATAGTATTTAATTGATAAAAAAAAAATTGCCACTTAAAAAGTAAATTGGCATTTAACAAATTTAAATAAAAAATGCAGTAAAATAAAAGTAAATATAACGTTATTGAAACAAATATTTTCTCTTCATTTGTTTCTATGTAATTTCAGTAAATCCTATATTAAAATCTTATTTGTCAATTAAAAGTAATAAAAATTATTATGTGAGACAATTTTCGAATAAGAGAAAAAAAATTGCATATTTTTAGGCGAATTATATTTAACGTTATCTTCTTTTAAGAACAATTAAAGAACTCCTCTAAAAAGACAACTAACCTGACACTTAAAAAATTTCATTAATAATTATAATACCTGGTAATGAGCCTGATAATGAAGTAATTATACCTATATTAAACAGCCTGATCGCGGTACTTCACGCTGTTTTACTCACTTTTTGTTCAATTTCAAATAAGAATTCTCAGTTTTCTAATGGATATTTCATTTTACCAATAAAATTACTCATTTTTTCAATTTTTAATTGAATTGAATAATTTTTATATACAAATTTTAGAAAAAAAGAACGAAATTCTCAATACCGATTTATTCTTCTCACTCGAAAATTACATTATACAAATATTATGATAGTTACTCAATTTCTTCTCACTTTACGAGTAAAATAGCGAGATAGACGATCAGACCTTATACAAATACAAATATTATACACATACAAATATTTTCAAGTATAAAAATTATATGTGATCATAAGATTTATTTTTTATTTCAATCATAACAATTAAAATTTTAAATTTAAGTAGCTTTTAAATCTGAAAATCAAATAGATATTATACAAAAATTTTATTGGTAGCTGTACATAAATTTTTCCTTTGACATTCTTTGAATACATTATTTATATACATATGTACATATATATAAAAGCCTTTCTACTGAAATATCAAAAATTCTCTATGCATGTGAAAGATTGTAAGACCCCAAAAATTAATGTATTTCATAAATTACAAAAAGCTACCATGATTCTATGTAAAAAAAAAATTTCATATATTTAAGAATAAAACTGTTGCTTTATTTTTACAAAACTAAATTTATCTACATATATATATATATATATATATATATATATATATAGATATACATTGTATATATATATGTATGTGAAATTTGAATAATTCACTCGATAATCTGAGTGAAACAAAGTAATTTGTATACATATAGTAAAAGTACCCTACAATTGTTGACATAAATAATTTATCAGCCGTCATAAATTCAATTCAGCAAAATAAAATAATTTAAGTGAAAATTTCATATTATTTCTTTTTTTTTTTTTCAAATATGCATTTCACGTCGTCGTATCCCAAATAATTATGTGCAAATTTCGTACTAAATAATATTATATCGTTAATATTCACTTTTCATTATAATAATTCATATATATATATATATATATATAAAGACATAAGATGATTTTTTAATATTTACTCTTTAACAAGTGATAAAAATAAATAAAAAAAAAAATAATATTATAATTCTATTTTTAGAATAACCTTTTTCCTTTCCTCAATTTTTTTTCCGTCATATTTTGAAATACATATGTACATACATATTTATATAAAGAAATAACAATTTAAAAAGGATAACTTTTTTGTATTATTTTTGTTGTCATAATATTTTGTATATACGAGAAAAGTATATTTGAATGTATATGCACAATATGCATGCATTTTTATATAAATATACAAAATAAATTTTAATCAAAATCAAGTATATTTCTACTTTTATACGAGTATATGTGTATATGAAGTTACTCGTATTATATGTATTGAGTGTCTCAGAATTTAAGACAATTTATTGATATTATGTGTAGCACACGATAATTTTCATTTGACTAATATTAAATAATTAAAATTTTATTATCGAATAAGTCAAGTTGACATTAGATCAAATTTTGATAAACGCCCCCTCTTAACTATATCCTACTCTATAATTATAAGACATAGTTATTTAAATGCCAAATATTTTGAAGTCATACAATTATAAATTTAATAAATTTATACATTTATATTTTAAATGATTCTATAATTATCAATTTTTATAAATACGCATGGGGGTATAATTTCGATTTGGTATATAAAGTGTTGTCGAGTTACAAAATTCGTTTTGACATTTTTAAAATTTTGATTATACTTATTTACTAATAAGCTAAATTAAATTCTAAAATAAAATATCAAATACATAATAAATCTTAATATTTTAAATATAAATCAAAAAACTATATTTAAATATTTTATATAAATTCCGGAATACTTTATATAAACACTAAGTAATATATAGTAGAAATATTAATATATTATACATGGTTATACATATTTATATAAAGTTAGCATAACTTCTTAATTAAAAATTCTGTTCTCTTTATTAATGCAAATCATTCACATATTCTTCAATTTGAAATAAACATTAAATATACATATATATCAAAATTTCATCCTCTTATATATTTATATTCTACATGCATAAAAATGCATTTCTCCGACTATATATAATACGATATATGTACAAAAATAACAATTTATGTGATAAAGAATGCTAACGGCATATACAGACCTAAAAAAACAAACATTTTTTTCCTTTTCTTTTTTTTTAAGTATAATTATCATCAGATCTCGTTATTTCATTTAAACTTGTAAAACAAAAATATTTTTGAAAAAACAAAAAATCATGTATGTATATTGCATTTTACATTTTGTAAACACTTAAATTTTACATAAATACATATAAAAAATGCTTGATATATATATATATATATATATGTGCACGTATATATGTATGTGTGGAAATATATCCGAGTGCATAACTCAAGTGCCACTCTCATAATAATACTTTCAATTTAATAGCGCAACGTGCATACACCGCGTTTTACATTCAGTATAATATGTACAAACGTTTTATCACTTTGTTTTTGGTTGAGAAAGAGGAGGCAACGAAATGAGAAACATAAAAATGAGAAAAACTACAAAAAAGAAAAAGAAAAAGAAACAAAAGTGTTTTTTATTTTATTTTTGTTTGTTTCTCTTCCTTTTTTTAAAAGTGTGCTAATACTCGTTATTTCCGGAAAAGGACTAACAACACTATACATAAATGTACTTTAAGCCCCAAAGCTAATAAAATATTTCTAAAAAACTCTTAAGACAAAATGTTTATTTAATTTGCTCTGCGTCAAATTTACTTTCATTTTAAGTTTTCCTTTTTTTTCATTTTCCTTTATATATATACACTTTTATAAAAGATTTAAAAAATTAATTATTACGACCTTTTTGAGAATTAGTGTATAATTACAAACTATATTGTTGTTCTTTTTGTAAAACAATGAAAAAAGAAACAAGTATATGTTCGAAAATATTAGAAAAAGACAAAAACAAAAAAGTTTATTTTCAATAATTAGCAAAATATTAATATTAAGAAGCAAAAAAAAACCTTTAAAAATTCAAATATCTTGAACAGAATTAAATTTGAAATTTTCTAGTGTAAGATTCGATAATTTCTTAAATCTAATAATAAATAATAAAAACTGGAGAATTTATTTAATATGCATTTAAACTGAGCTTAGAAAATTGACAAATGACTTGTCACTTTCATTTGCGCAAGTTGTTCGAGAAATTTTTAATTATTTTTGACCTTGTGTTTAAAAAGAGTAGTTAAAATTTTTGTTATTTACTTTTATAATTATCCGGTTTAGCAATATCGAAATAATCAAAATTCATAATCTATCTATAATCAAAATATCAATAATCAAATTCATCGAAATAGAAGGTATAATAGATATAATTATATCTGACGGTCGCTAACCGGCAATCAACAAGTTATGCTAAAAAATTTGTTCCATATCTGATTTCGTTTAAAACTTTTCCGTGCAACCGGGTAACAACTGTTTAGGCCGCAAATTAATTTTGATTATTTGAAGTTGAGATTTTACTTAAATGTTATTTAATTTAATAAAAATAATTTATCACTTCAAAATTTTTCATTTTGTACAAAATAACTTTTTTGTTACCTAAAAAAAAAAGCTACAAAAATAAAATTTTAAAATGTAATTAGATAATCGATTATCTTTTTAAAATCGATTCTTACAATTGTAAATGAAAATGACATTTAATTTTTCTTGTAAACACAAGTGCCTTAATTGCCGAATTGAATTAGAAATTTTAAAGGATTAATATTTATTTCAAAGAATTTAATAGGATTTAATAAAATACTGTTAAAAATAATTTTAATATAGTTATAAATACCGATAATTCAAAAAAACTTATTATAATGCAATATTTATTAATAATAATTTTATATTTTTTTTTCAGATAAGAATTTACAAGTACAAAAAGACTGCTTAAAAGGATAAAAGTTTCAACAAAAAAAAAGAATATTATAAACGAAGAAAAAATGAAAAAACGTAGGAAATGAAACGAAAAATTTTATAAAAAATTTGGAGATTTTTTAAATTGCATTTACATATTATATACATACATATATATTTAGCCACAGATGCATTTTCTTATTTTTTTGAATGTAATTTGAAAATTTTCTAAAAACAAGTACAAATACTTTAATTGTACATGACACACTAAAAACAAAAAAATAAATAATTTTCTTTTTTTTTTGGATGCAAAAAATACAAAATAAACTTATAAATTACATTAGACACTCACACATTTCATATATATGAGCATCATACAATATAAAAACTATAAAATTAGATACAAAATTTTAATAGCAATGTTTAGTAGAATGCTCTGCTTAAAACGGCGATTTAATATTTATTTAAAATTTATTGCAATTGCATCATTAGCGATCTTTTATTTTGCATTTTTATTTCGTGAATCATTAAATGCTTATGAGGCTACCAAAAATAAATTGAGTTCTGTTAGAGAAGAGGTAAATTTTTTATGAAAATAAAATAATTTTTAGTTCTTTTGTAGTTTTTATTATAACAGTTATTGGTTTTTCGGAAATGCATTCGTAGATAAAAACTAGAAATTTGATAACATTAATTTAAAATAGAGTTCTTCTTATTAAGTAATGATTTAGTTCGTAAAATGATGTGTTTCCGAAAAGTCCTATCACAAATCAATATTGAATACTTTTTTTTTTAAAATTTCAACGATTTATTCATTCATGGTTTTTTTCTTTTATGACATTTTAGCTGAAACATAAGACAAACCCAATAAATAAACATCAAAAAACACAAAAAATTTATAAAAATACAATAAATACTTATAAATATGATGAAAATAATGTGATTGGAAAGCGTGTTATCAATAATATTGATAAAAACAATATAAATGTGCACAATAATAATAAAGTTTTAGAAGATCAATCATTATTACAATCATCATCAGTATTACAATCATCAACATTAAATCCAGTTTATGAATATTCCGATGAATTACATAGTGCCACTGAAAAAGATTTACAAAATCGTAAATTTATTTTACAAGATGTCTGTATTAGAGAAAATTTAACAGGCATTTACCCACCGAAACCTCATGAATTTTTTCTTTCACCTGGCCATAATTTAGTTTGGTGTAATATTTTTAAAGCAGCTAGTTCAACATGGATGTATTATTTTAATATTTTAGGTATATAAAATTTTTTTGAAATATTTTATATAAATATAAAATACATTTTGAAAATATTTTCAATTAAAACCACATTATATATCTTTTAGGTGGCTATAATATAAAATATTTACAACATACAAGACGTTCACCATTAGAATTAGCACGTAAACGTTTCCCACGACCAAAAATCAATGAATTAAACGATGCATTAGAATCATCAATATCATTTTTAACAGTTCGTGAACCATTTGAAAGACTTTTATCAGCATATCGTGATAAATTAGAAGGATGTCACAATCAATATTATAGAGCATTAGGAAAGCAAATAATAAAACTATTTCGAAATAAAAATTATAATAATAATAATAATATTAATGAAAATAATAAAAATAATGAAAATTTAAGAAGTACATCAATACAAAAAATGCAAAAAGGATATAAACTGGAACAAGAAAAACAATTACAGCAACAACAACAACAAAAACAATGTCATAATAGTGGACCAACATTTAAAGAATTTTTATTATTTTTAATAAATAATTCTAAAAATCATATAACATTTGATGAACATTGGACACCGATGTATAGTTTTTGTACACCATGCAGTATTAATTATACATTAATAGCTAAAACAGAAACATTTCAACGAGATAGTGAATATATAATACGACAAGCTGGTTTAGAACCATTACTTTTAGGTAAATTACCAAAAAAACGTATTAAAACAATAACAAATCATTCATCACATAATACTGGTAGCCTTATAAAAAAGTAAGTTTAAAAATACAAAATTTATTAAACTAAAAATTTTGAAATTAAAAACTATTCAATCACTTTACTTTTATTATGCATATTGTATATATAATTAAATATTCTAAATAATAATTTTTAATTTTTGTTTTTTAGATATTTTTCTAAAATTGATCGCAATATATTAGATGAATTAATAAATATTTATCGCCTGGATTTTGAATTATTTGGATACAATTATACAAAATATTATGATATAATAAAAAAATCCAAAAATCCACCACCGACATTAACAACATCAAATATACATCATTTAACATTAAATTTATTAGGGAAAAATGTCAGCACATCACAATTTTCATCATCTTCATCATCAATATTATCGTCAACAACAATATACTCAACAATGAAATTAAGTTTTACAACGAGTCATACAAATTCTATATCAAATTAAAAAGTAAAAAAAAAAAACTTTACAACTGATATTCATTATTTAAAACTAAAATGAACGATAAAATGAGGTTGTTATTTTTTTTTTGTTTTGTTTAATAGCAAATTTTTAATAATATGTAAAATACAAAAATATCTGTTAAAATGCCAAAATCTATTAAGTTAAATGAACTTAATTCTATATATAAAAAATGATATATTTAAATATTATTAAATTTATTAGCATAAATATCATATAATTTATAATATAATTATGTATTAAAAAAAAATTCAGGGAAAATTTTAACTATATGTATTGTATTAACAAATATTTTATAAAATTTAATTAATTAGATAATTAAATTAAGCAATTTTTTTTCTGTTAATTATTAAAATTTTTATAATTAAATTTTGTTTTTACAAAGTTATTTAAAATATTATTTTATAACTAAAATATAATGTTAATTTATTTGTAATTGAATTATATTTTTTTTTCGTTTTGCAAATATACTAGAGTTTCATATTATATACAGTAATACTCAATTGAATTTTAAATATAATTTGTTTGTATTTGTTGAATTTTAAATATAATTCCAACAATAGCAGCATTAATTTATTAATTAAAAACTTAAAAATTCTTATACAAAAATATCATTTCATTTTTGATTTAATATTTTATTTTATATATAATTTAGTTTATATTTAATTTAATATTTATACATAATTATATTATAAATTATAGAAAAAAATAACAGTTTTTAGCACAAAATATTCAAATTAAATGCAAAATATAAATATTTTTACTCAAAAATATGTTGTATGTCAAAATTATGTATAATAATTAAAACCCTGAGTTTTTAAAAATTAAAATTAAATTAAAAGAAAAATTAAAAATATTTACAATTAAAATTAAACAAAAAAATATGAATGTAAAACGAGCAATAGTGAATTTAAAAAAAAAATCAATTTTCTTTTGTCTATATTCTATACATATATTAAAGATAAAATAAAGGAAAAAGATTAAATAAACAAAGAAAATATATAAAAAAAAAACAAAAGTTATAATGTAAAATAAAAATTTATTTTTAAAAATTTATTTTTGAATCTTTATATATAGAATTTGCATAAAAATATTTGAATATAAGTTTTGTAAATTAAAAAAATTATATATCTAAAAGGGTTTCTCTAGAACTTATTATTATTATTATATATACTGTATAAAAAGAAAAACAAACAAAAAAAAATTAAACACAAAATGAAATACAGGAGATCGCCAAACTGATTTACGATAAAAAAAAATATAAATTATGTATTTAAAAAAAAAATAAAATCAAACAAAAAGCAAATTCAAAAAAATTAGTAAAAAATAATTTTTAAAATTCTAATACATATATATTAAATTTTGGTTGCCAAACACAAAAAAAAAAACGAAATTAAACATTTATTAAATTTAAAAAAAAAATGTTTTAGCTTCCATATTTTGGGTTCTATATACTTCAGTTATACTCGTATAGCATTTTAATTACATAATTATATAAAAATATTATTAAAATTAAACACAAAAAATTGGATTAAATATCGTATAAGAATATTTTAATTAAATTTTATAATAGCTCTTCATTATTACTATTATTATTTATTAAAATTATATAATATTATTTTATCATTCTTTTTCATATATATTGAAAATAATCCAATTAATTGATTATTAAAATTAATAAGAAGAGCATATTTATAATAATAACGTATAAACAATTTTTTTATAATAATTTTTTTTAATTTTAAAAAGTCTGAAATATTTAATATTCTGAATATAATTTAAAAAAAAAAAATAAATAAATCAAATATATGTAATTATTAAAAATATTTAAATTGTATGTATGTAATTAAAAAATTATTGTATATAAGTATAATTCTATTAAATATTAATGTAAAATCTTCAAAAAAAAAAAATTAAAAAATAAAACAAAAAAGGAATTTTAAATTATTTATATATTCTTGTTGTGTCTTTGCACTTATACACAAAAAAAAAAAACAAATTAGTAAAAAAAAAAATTAATAAAAATATATACATATACAATATATACAATATGTATATATATATGTATATATGTAAAAATAAATTTATAATAAAAAATTTTAATATTGTATTACGGCACCGACTTTGTTATGTATTTTCTATATTATATAAATATATTATTAAAAATATAAAATAAAATTAAAAAAAAAAAACAAAACAACTTTTTTGAACTAATATAAAAAATATAAAAAAAAAAAAAAATTATACATGCATGTAGTTTTTAAAAAATAAACTAAATTTAAATATTAATTAAATATTTTGTAAAATTTTATTTATTTTTTTAAAAATCTTTTATGTCTTTAAATTACAAAAAAAAAAAAATATATGTAAAATCTAATTTTTAGGTATATTTTTATTTTTTTTTTTTAAATAAATGTTTTTTAAAATTAATTAACAAAAATGGAAAAAAATTAAAAAAAAAAATGTATTTTTATTGAATTATAAATTAAACTTTTTATATACCTATATATTTGTACAAAATGCACAAATTAATCCCATCTATATTTTATCCTAATATTAAGAAATGTTTTTTTTTTTTTTAATTTGAAAAAAAAATTATTTATATATTAAACTTTTATGTATTATTTATTATATAAAAAAACAAAAAATCCAATATTTTCTAAAATATTAATAGAACCTTAAAATTTGATACTGTATAATAGTATAATAAAATTTTATAGTTATTTTATTAGAATTATTACGGTTAGAAAAAAAAAATTATAAAAACAAACCCACCAAATAGAAAACAAAATTTTTGTTCTTTAATTTTTAAGTTTTTAGGCATTTATTACTTTATTTCTAATTTATTACTTTATTTCTAAAATATTTATTTACCCTGTTATTTATGTAAGACTTTGTTATGTAAAGACTTAAAATCAAATTTGTAATAACAAAAAAAATATTTTTAATAATTATTAAATATTTTTATTTAAGTAATTTTGTTCAAAATAATTAAATTAAATTTAAAAATTAAATAAATCTATACTTTTAATTAAAATCCACAGTATGGAAAAATTTCTTTAATTTTTTTTTTGCAATTTATATTATTTAATTAAAAATCATATACATTATATAAAATATCTTTACATAAAATGGATATAAAATAAAAAAAACCCGGAAAATAAAAAGCATTAAAATAAAAATTTATTTAAATATAAAATATATAATTGGTAAGAATTTTCGATGAATTTATAAAACAAAAAAAAAAAAAAATTTAACATAAATTAACAAACTTTATAAAACTTTAAAAAATTTATATATATATATATATATTAATCTTGTATTGTGTATATTCTATATATATTGTATATAGTCAAAAAAAAAAAACAATATTTTATGTTAAATATTATAAAAACGATACAAAATAATATAAAATTATAAATTGTAATAAAAAAAAAATTATAATGTTTTCAAAAACTATTGAAATATTTTAAATGCTCTTTTATAGAACTCTACATAAAAATATTTTATTAAATATAAAATTTATTTCATAAAAGAGTATTTGAATTACAAAAAACAAAATAAATAAATAATAAATTCTGTATTTATATTTTGATTAAAGTTTTACTGTAGTAATATATATAAATATATATATATATATGTATATACATTATATTATATAATATTATTATGAATTAAATAAACAGAAAATTTATATTTCAACAATATTTACTTATCCATATATAAATAAAAATATGTGTTTATATACATATATATATATATCTGATACTTATATGTACATGTAAATATATGGTGAAATGTTAATATTTAAACACAATACAATTGTTATATTAAAATACAGGTACATATGTACGTACATGTTATGCGAAAAATAAATATCAAATATTCAACGATACAATCTAAATTATAAAGTGAATAAAGTGGTTTATAAAATTAATTTAAATTTAGTCAAACTATGCTAACGCAGTCACATTATATTATATATAACGGTAAATAACTAAAAATTTGATTAATTTTAGCAGTATAAAAAATAACTACATACAATAATTGCCAAATTGTTGATTGTAGTAAAAAAAAGTTTTTACTGTTGTTGAAATACTAACAGAATCATATATGTTTTTATTGAATTTAAAAAATGGGAACCAAAATCAGAAAAAATATGGGGTAGCTTAAAAAAATACTGTCAAAACATTTGCTGCATTTTTAAAAATACTTCTTTGATAGTTCTTGTATAATACTTAATTATTAAATTTGCAGAAAAAATTTAGTACTATAGAAAAGAATTATTTTTTCCTTATAATTTTTATTTTTGCTGTAGAACATATAAAATTATTAAATAAAAACTCAAATTTAAATAATTTTTTTAGCAAATCATCACACCCGCCTTAGTAAATTAATTTTAAAGTAAATTTTTTAATTTTCTAAAAAAAAAAATACACTTTAATTTTAAAATTTCAAGAATAACTGTGTTATAAAACGGTATATACGAGTACAAAACGATTAAGAATTCGAATTTGTAATTAAACAAAGAAATAAAAAAACTCGATTTGAAAAGTTTGTTGCTTATAATGAAAGATTTTTTTTTGTATTTAAAATATATTAGAACATTTTCTTATATACTAAAGCTTAATAAATTAAATTATTCAAGTAAAAATGTCGATTTCACCTAATATATATACAGTGCATATATTACGTATTTACAAATAACATGTTTATATTTTAAGGACAATCTTCTAAGAAAATATTCCTTATCGGCACTAATTCAATGTATGTAGCATTGCGTATATATTAATTTTGTTTCTATTTGTTTTATAAACATAAACATATTGTGTATTCAATTAAATGAAATGGAATTGTTATTAATTTTAAATAAAATATAATTTAAATTTAAATTTATACATAATACTTAATAAACTGGAAAAGAAAATAATTGAAAATTTTTTTGAAAAATTCTTATTTTCTTATACATTGTTCATATATATGATTTCTAAAAATACCTAATTTTTTTAAGTTTAACAAGAAAAAAGGAATGTTATATATATATTATATTTATCATGTATATATATATATATATATTGAAATATATAATTAATTAAAATACATAAAGAAATTTTGCTTTTTATTAATTAATTATAAAATTTTTTAAAAAAGTCATATACCATCATAAAATGAAAATACAAAATATAAAAAAAAGTTGCAATACTTTATATGCAATTAATAAGCCTTTCAACAACGCCGTATATCACAGCAACATATATGTATAGTGAAAAAAGCGCTATAATATGTTCATAAACAATAATGTTGCTAACCATTGTTTATTCATAAACATTGTTAAATTTTTGCAGTATATTGAAATTCATGCGAGTAGTGAAATTTTTTTTTGATTTTATGGCATATATATTTGAAAATATATTGCATATTCATCACATTATGTTTTTACAGGATAATTGCTATTATGATAGTCTCTAATAATTTATGCGCAGTATATACTAATATCACTTTGTGTTTGTATATATATATATATCAATTGTATTATCCGTCATAATAGATAATTTACAATATTCAATTTTAAATTTTATTAATTATACACAATTCAAAGTCCCAATCAAATGAAATAGAACATTGAATATTTAATTTTAATAACAATTACACAAAACTTTAATGTCATTTTGATCTCTTTTATCTCAAGATCACCGTGAGTTATTTGGTGAATTCTTAAACGTCAAATTTTATAAAATCTGAGTTGTCTGAGTTTACGAATACTCTACTGCATTTTTACTTTCAGTCAAAGCTTAAATTATTAAACGTTAAAAAAAAGCCAATTAAGCGTCAAAATTGTAGATTTTTTTTTTTACATGCATACAGTCTGACGTAGTAATTAAGTAAATAAATTTGATGTATTGAGTGACTATCATTACGTTAAAAATAATATAAAAAATATTTTTTTTGTTAATTTTTAATATGGAAGTATAAAATTGTTTTAAATCTAAAAAAATTTTTTTTTTTGTTTTGACGTTTACGGATGATCAAAATTCAAAGTCAATTACGGGTAAAAAGTTTACTACATTTCTGTCCGTAAAAATTTTATACGTCAGACAGTTTGCAGACTCAAAACAAAATTTTAACGTTAAAGAATTTGCGGATTATCGGGTAAGTATTAATTAAACGATTATATTGAATTGAAATATTAAAGCAAAAATTTATATGAACAACACATCTCTCTCTCTCTCTTTCTCTCTCTCTCTCTCTCTGTAAACTTTATACATAGAAAGGAAAACTCTTTTCAATTATCTACAATAATATTACGTAATAATTTTCCGAAATTATACTAATTTCGTAATATTATACATATAATATAAAATATAATAATAATTAAAATAAATATTTATATAAATAAATTTAACTTACTTGATAAAACAGTCAACAAGAAAATATAATCCGAAAATGTTATAAGTCCATAAGATCCCAATTTGTAAAAGATGCTATCTTTATCCAAATGTAAATCTAATCGATCAGTTACCGACTTTATTTTACAAAAAAAAAAGGTTTTGAAAGAAAAAAATTAAATATTTTAATATTAATAAAATTGAATTTATTTTTTTTTTTTGTTTGTATACTATTTAAAGTATTTAGGGCAAGCTAAAATTAAACGCTACAATTAAGCTTAACAAACAACAATATATTGAGAATCTACTAAAACAAACACAAAAAAAAAATATTACTTCTTAACAATAACTAAATGTTTTCTGGAATTTTTTAAATTGATTTCAACAGCATATTATTTTGGAATTGCATTGTTTGCCTTTAATACAAAAATTAAGCTAAAATTAAATGCAAATTCAATTATTTATAAGTTTCGCAGGGATTATTTTATAAGCATTTCAAATGTTGTGATGATCAGAAATATTACTTTTAATTAATTCTATTTGAAATGTGGCATTTATGAGTCAACGAAAAACGCATTTATGGTAATTATAACCAACCGAATTTAGTTTTGACATAAACAATGAATTTATATGTAAAATATTATGCGATTACACTTCAAAACCAATTATCTGTTATCTAAAAAACTGAATTAATGGCATTGTTAAATAAAAATCGTTAATACTAGTCATAAATTTATTGATTTCACTGCTAATTGCTTTAAGGTTAATTTGACATCGTTTGACATATTGTCGATTTATGTATAGTAAGTTGTCAAAAGAATTTTTATAGAATTTTGGATGTAATTAAATTTATTTAGCATTTATAACAGAAAATTTAATAATTATTAGAAAATATTTTCTAAATTATGGAAATGGGCAAAATTATTAAGAAATTGAAAAGTTATTTTTTAAATTGAAAAGATTCAAAGTTTATATTTTTTTTAATTTTTAGCTTTATACTTTTAAATAATTTCGAATTAAATAAATTGGAACTAAAATTAATCAGAATTTTATACGATTTTTTTATGCCTCTTTCATAATATTTAGAATTTAGACCACAGTTTTTTTTTTTTAATACTTTAGACTTATTTTACTTATCATAATAGAAAAAATTATTAAATTTATTTGAATTTTTTTTTAAAATAATAAAATATGCGATTATATTATATTAAATAAATAATAAGAATTAAAAATAATAATTGAAGAAATTTTTAAACTAGAAAAGGAAAATTAGAACATATTATAGAAGCGAGAGAGTAAAGCATTTTTTTTTGTATTTAATTTTAAATAGCAATATAAAATATATTTAAGTGTTTTGTTAATTATTATTAATATTTAAGAAAAATGTATTGTGTTGATTTTAATTTTTTTTAACTTTATTTGTGTATATAAATTATCATTCTCTGTCTGTATATTATCAAAGTATATATATATAAATAAAAATGTTTTGAATAATATGAATTAATTTTTAAATATAAAAAATTCAAATATTGTGTGGTAAAATTGTGGGTAAAATTGTGTTTTATGATCTTAACCTATCTCTCCATTATTATTACAAAAAACAAAGCAAAATTAAATTATAAAATCTTCTTATAAAATATTAGTAAATAAAAATGGCGACGCTTAAACAAAAATTTTTTCATTTCTGAAATATTTAATATGTTGGTCGTTTTGTGCAACACTAACATAACTCAAAATTTACACATTTTGAGAAAAACGAATTTAAAACGAATTTATACATTTTCTCGTTGTAGTTAAAATTTTAAAACTGGAGAATATTCTCTATCTCTGTATAAATAACTCAGAGATCGTATTTTTTGTGTTATGTCACTGTTGCAATAAATAAACGATATAAGAAAAACACCTTTACTAAAGTGTTAAACGCTATTGAAAAATCGACCGCAACTCTATTTTTTTTATTGTAATTTATAAAATGCTAATGCAATATTTGCTAAAAAAATTATATTTTTGTTTAAAAAAAATCAAAAATTCCTAAAACAAAATATGAAATTATTTTCAAAGAAAATTTAATTTTTGGAAACATGGAAATTTCAAAAAAATAACAAAACTTTAAGAAAATCTTAAGAGAAAATATTTCATAGAACAATTTTAACATGCAACGAATTTTTGTTTCTTTTTTAATATTGTATAAAGTAAACAATTTTTCTTTTATATAATTGTGAATCACATCATAAATATAGAAACAGAAACATGAACTAATTAACATAAACAAATTGTTCACCAAATTCGAAATCGTCATAAATTGCATTTAATATTATAAATATTTGAAAATAATATATAATATTTAAATAAACATTATAATATAAAAACAACAACGGACAATCAAAAATTTTGTGAAAGAATAGAAAATGTGATATAGAAATTTAATATAGAAAATTCGAATAAAAAATTTCACATAAATTATTTGGGAATGGAAATTTTTTTTCTAATTTAAATATATGTAAATTATGTTCAAATGACAATAATTGAAAATAAACCAATTTGATATTAGACTATTCAACAGCTATCGAATTGATTTTATCGAATATTTTTTTTTGTTTACTTGTTACCGATTATCTAAAAATAAAGCGAAATGAAAATTAACACTTGAATTTTAATATTATTGTTTGTCATATTATTTGTAAATCAACTGAACAAAATTAATATCATTTCTATAAAAGCAATTTGAAATTTTTTTATCAAAAATGACAAATTTTCAATTAAACAAAAATGGAAACAATTTTTACCGCATGATTAGTTATGGCGTCATGATACTCGTATAATCGAATACGAAGAAAACTGATAAAAATTTATATCAATTAAAATCACTAGCTCAGTGGACTTAGAACATACATTTTTTTAGATATATAAATATAAAAATTAAAATTACACACAAAAAATTAATAGAATTAAATATTATGTTTTCAAAATTTCAATTTTTTACTCATTTATTGTCAAAGGAGTAAAATATAAACACAAATGTTGCATAATCGATAATATTTCACCGATCAATTTGACGTTTTCAAAAAAAAAAAAAAAACGGATGACAGCTGTAATTTTGTTTTGTCATTTACCGATCGTAAATTTACAAAACCGAACGCATTAAAATATATTTTAATGTTGTAGTAACTCAGGTAGTTATTTCAAAAGTAACTAAGGTTACTGAGAAAGTGATATATGTATATAAGTTTATTTTTTTGTTATATCATATATTTTCATTCCCAAATAAATTTTAGAATATAACAAAACAAATGCTTTAAAATTTGAAATTTAATTTTAAATATTTAAAAAAAAAACATGGATAGTAATTTATTTAAGATTAAAAAAGAAATATAAGATAAGAAATAGAATAAGTATATATTATATAGATATTAAATTATTTACTTCTTTATGTCCCTTCAAAATCTACATTCACATATTATATAAGTATAGAATATATATATATGTATATAGAAATGATGAAAAAATTTACAGAAGAAAATATATTATTTTATAAATTAAAAATAAAATTTATAAAATAATTTTTACATTTAGATTGAAATTTTCGATAATAGTAAAATATAAATAAGCTCTTATACATTAAAAAAATTTTTGATTAAAAATTTTATAAAGTATATAAGTAAATTTGAAGAAATTTAATAAATTCAGTAATAAAGAAATTGTGTTGAGTAACTATTTTTGCAATTACAATTCAATTTCAATTCAAAATTAATTCAATTACAAAAAAAAAAATCGAATTTCTGTAAAATACAATTTGTTTGAATTCTACTGAATTTATCAATTATTTATATAATATATCATTGTCTCATAATTTTCTATCTTTAGCGTATTTCAATTTAATCAATTTTTATACACTCAATAAAATATTTTTAAATTGTTTGAATACTCAATTAATTATTCAACAATAAATTTAATTAGATAGTCTGCAAATTAAGAAAAAATTATATGCGATCACTAACATCAATAACATCAATTTATAGACCTATAATTATTTCTCTTAATTTATATTATATTTTTAAAGAATTTTTCAATTATATAAAAAAAAAAATACGCAGATAACCTATACAAAATCTATAAACAAACCTAAAATATGTTATGATTTAATTTTAGAATTAAAAGAATTTTTAATGAAAAATTTGAAATATGCTATAAAATTTATAATATTTGAGCCTTGTCATCATTAATCACAAAAACAATAAATGAAAGAAAAAATGAGTGAATTACAGATTTATCATTCATTGTTTGTTCAATGATGATACCAATAATGAATGGATAGGTTTACAAAAAAAAAAGGTGAGTGATTAAAACAATGATGACAGGCCTCATTATCCATTATTAATTTTATACAAATATAAAAGCTTTTATTTTATATTCAAATGTTTATTGATAATATTGAATAGTATATAGGCTCAAACTTGAGCATTATATATAAGCGTTTAATTAATTATATATATTTTTGTTATATTTTTATTTTGCAGCTTATTTCTCTAATATTTAATGAAGCGAATATTTTCGAATTCAGTAAATTAATAGAGCTTCAATTTGTTAATTTTATTTGATAATTAGCAAATCAGCTTATTTATCGAAAATATTTTAATAGTATATTAATTATGTATATTATATTTTTACAATTATACTACAAGAAAATTTATGTATAATAATATTTATATATATATATATATATATAACAGATATTTTAAAACAAGTTTTTTTAACACTTTTTTTTTTATATTAAACAAATAATAAAAACTTTTTTAAATACCTCTCCCAATAACTGAAAATTTTGCCAAATATGTTGATGATTAAATTAAAAAAAAAAACGACAAATTTTAATTTAATGTAAATTAATTTCAAAATAATTAATGTTATGAATTAATTTTATTTTTTTTTTTTGTTTTATTTTTGATTCAATTTTAGTTTGAATTTTATGTTTGTTTGTTTGTTTTATATATATTTTTTTTTGGTTTGTTATGTGAATTAGGATTTTTATTGTGTTATGTAAGTATTTATAGGTTGTGTTTGTGTTTTTATAGTAACATTTTATATCCACATTTAGATTTATTAAAGGTAAAGGAAAAAAAAAAAAGAAAAAAGTTTATATTAAAAGTTATTTACAAAAAATAATTTTTTTTAAATTAATTTGAAAATAATGTATAATTTTTTAAAAAAAATTTATTTAGTGAATGTATTCAGTATTTTACCTTGGGATCATAGCGTTTATATTGATCCAATCCAAGACCTTTTCAATTAAATAATCGAAAATAAAAGAAAAAATAAATTTTATTTTATTTTATTTGTTTAAATAAAATAAAAAATCAAAAACCAATACAAGAATTTCGACATTTTTTTAATTAATTCTTATAATTTTAGAATTAAATATACATAAAATAATCAATTATTTCATATTGTTTTATGAGTTTATATGAAATCATTTAAACTCTACATTTTTTATAGTATTACATTTCGGCAAAAAAAATTAACAACTTCCAAAAACTGAAGTCTTAATTTGAGCAAAAAATTCAAATAGTTTCTGCTCTGAAAGCTTGTTATTGATTTTTTAAAAAAGCAGAAAATAATTTATTAAATTTATATGAAATTCTTGTACTGATATTTTGAAAACAATAAAGTGCAAGTAAACAAAATTAAATATAATTTTTAATAAGTAATTACTATAAGTTATAAATCAAAAATTAGTTTACCAGGAAAAACAAAAATGTTTTATCAACATAAAGGTAAAAAAACATAAATATACTGAATTGAAAATTAAAATATTAAATAATAATTAAAAGTAAAATAATAAGATTGTATTATATAAAAAAATTTATATAAATTAAACAATGAAAAAATAAAAGCATATCTATTAAACAAATATGTAATTCACATTAAATTATTCAATATGAAAAATGTACCCTCTGGTTGTTTCATTCCTGGTGTCATACTAGTTAAAAAATCTTGCGGTGTCATATAAATCTCGTAATGATCAGCTGTTAATGGAACTTGTATTGTTGCAAAATAGCGAAAAACTTTATCCGGAGTAGAAAATTGACGAATTCGATTTTCATATTCGATGATCTTTTAATATTTAAAAAATGATATATTTTAAACGAAAACAGATTACATATTGTTTAAATTAAAGAAATAAAATGATCTCAAAATCAAAAATAATATCTAAGTATACAAATTTAGACCATTAAACCCTCGCCACCATTTGCAACGAAATAATAATTTTATAACATTGAACATCAGTTCAAGCTATATTACTTCTCGAGATATTCGAAAAAAATAATAAATTTGCATTTTTCGATAGTACAAAAAATTTAATACAAATAACTTAATAAGTTATTCAAAAATTATCTAAGTTTTGTTTAATTTCCAATAACCCCATTTCTGATTGTGTATATCTATGAATTTTTAAATTAGTCATAAAATTTATTAGTACTACGCTAGTAAAACAATTCATATTTTTCATTAAATTAGTAAAGTATAAATACATATTGGAGTAGTATCATTAAAATGTTAAGAATTTTATGTAAGATTTTAGAAAAACATATTAGCTATATCAAACATATTTGAAAATCGTTAAGTTTACCATCCGGCTGTTTCATTCCAGGAGTAATAGCTCTCAAGAAATCATCTGGTGTCATATAAGTATCAGTACCAGTGCTAGTAACTAATTTAACGGTAGCAAAATATCGAAAAATTTTGTCTGGAGTGGAATATGCACGCATGCGATTCTCATATTCTATAATCTACCAGTTTTTTGTAATTATTATAAATAATATTGTAAATTATTACAAAATGAAAATTAATAATTCTTCTTGAACTATAGATAAAAATGGTTTTCAAAAATTTAAAGATTAAAATTATATATTGTAGTATAAAACTAGTAATTGATTGTTATACACAATTAAATTACTAAGTTTATGTCGATTTATATAAACTCATTTTTAACTATAATTCTAAATAAACTTAAAAGCATAATTGTTTAATTTAAAAATTTTAAATGTTATACCTTCCTATCCCGGAATCCAACTTTCTCTTTTTTCTTCTTTCTTGCAGCTGCAGCTTCAAGTTCACTATCATGTTCACTATCTGAATTTTCATCTTGTGACGAATTATTTTTACTATTATGTTCATGCATTTCATTGTTGGCTTCTGGTTTCGTTTTTGCGGCTTCTGCGTCTACTGGAGTTAAAATCATATGCTTTAATCTAAAAATATGCTTTATGTATTATTAACAGTAAAAGTATACTTTGAAAAACTAAATTACTTTTTCCAATCAACAACTATTATTACGAAAATTGCTCCCATTAAAAAATGGTACAATTTTGTTACTGTTGGTACTGGAACTTGCTTATGCCCAAAATTTTTATAACCTCTTGAATGGAAACGTTCATTTTTAAATGAATTCTGCTCTATACATTTTTGTACAGATATTAAAGGTAGCGCTTTTGCATTAGAGTACACATTTGATATTTGCCGACTGGCAAATATAGTCCTGGCCAATCCTCCAAGGCGAACCAAAGACATTGTACGGAATTCACCTAATAATTTGCAATGTATATACTTGAAACTTAGAAATGTTTATGCCTAATTAAATAAAATAACTGAACAAACCTAAATATGTAGGACTATCGCACAAATTAAATTTTTATTTTTTACTCTTCTCTATTGCTTTTTTGATATTTACACTTGCAGATATTAAAAATAATTGCCAAAACCAGCTGTTTAATAAAAATCAAATCTTCTGATTTAAGAAAATGTGTCATGTAAGTGTTGAATTTTCTTGTTCACACTTTAATGAATCCGATATTCGAATTTAGAAAACTTCAAAGTTAATAATTTTGCTGTGCAATTCCATCATTAAAGTAAAAACACACACTCTTATGAATAAAAATTGGGTTATTCTCTCATATAAACTTATGAAATAAAAGACTAGCAGTAGAAGGTAAACTTGTCTGCCTTTTATAAACACATATGTATGTATAATTTCACATGTTGATAAAGTGTACTGCAAAATATATTTCTCATTTTTATTTCTTACAGTTCTGAATGAAAACTCGAAAATTAGGTGATGCCTTTAGATTTACCTATTTTTGCATATTTTAACTTCTAAGTTCAATATTAACTTTTTTTTACAAGAAATGATTCATAATAATTCTTGAGGGTTTAAAAAGAAACGTAATTTTCTTTTAAGCTCTTTGCAGAATCTGCAATGACTATGAAGTGGAAACAAAGTGCCAATTGTCAAACAAAAATGATTACCTACTTGTTGTCTTATCAAATTTGTACGACAGCAAAAATGTTTACATTCTTTTTTCAATTATAACCTTTAATCGGTAGCCAATTTAATGGTTGAGAAAAAATATTGGAAATAAATATAAGAAGCGAAAATCAATTTTCTGGTTTTCATGATGAAAATATATACGTTTCTTGTTTATAAAACATTATTTATCTTAGGCGTATTTTTATTTGCGTATGGATTTTTTCCGGTTACTAATTATGATCCACGGTTATCAAATTTTGAACAAAATATATTGGATTATGCGGTTCCGGTTAAACCAAATTCGATGACAAGAAATTCAAAATTGATTTTAATGATAATAGATGCTTTAAGATTTGATTTTGTAGATAACAGGATGAAATACACAAATGAGCAAATAATGCAAGAAAAAATATGTAAGATAAAAGTAAAAGCAGATGCACCTACAGTGACAATGCCAAGAATTAAAAGTATTCTAACAGGAAGGACTTCAAGCTTTGCAGATGTAATATTTAATTTAGGTGATCAAGATTTAAATACAGATTCTTTGATGCGTCAATTTATCGCGGCAAAAAAAAAAGTAGTATTATATGGGGATAATACATGGGGTAAGCTTTTTCCACGTCAAGTATTCCATCGAGCTCAACTTAATCACGATTCATTTTTTGTAAATGATTTTTACGAAGGTAGTATAATATTGACGATAGAGTGTATAACTTGAATAATAAAACTTTAATGTTTTAGGTGATAAAAACATAACTAAAAATATTAACTCTGAGCTAGAGAAAAATGATTGGGATATAATAATATTGCATTATTTGGGTTTAGACCATATTGGACATGTTGAAGGTACAGCAAGTTTGAAAATTCCTTTTAAATTAAAGGAAATGGATGATATTATATATAAAATTAGTCAAAAAATTGACGAAAGAAAAAATGAAAACATAATGCTTTTGGTAACGTCAGATCATGGAATGCGAAATGAAGGAGGACATGGCGGTGGAAGCAGAGAAGAAACTGAAATTCCTTTGTTATTTTCGGGACATGATTGTAAATCTAACGTTTATGAAAATTATAATCAAATAGATATGACTTCTACCTTAGCTGCTCTCATGAATTTGTCGATACCAGTTAATAATATCGGAAGAGTTATTCATAATTTAATTTTAGGACTTCCTAAAGACGATCAGCTCCGGTATTTAAACTACAACGCAATTGATTTATTATCTAAATCAACAAAAATAATGAATAAAGAACTTTTTACAAGATTTGAAATTGAATATGGTACAGCAAAAAATTATCACATGGAGTTTTTAAAGTCTTACACCAATGAGAACTTATTTGAAAAAGCTAAAGCAAAATATATTGAAGTAACAAAAAACATGTCAGAATATATTAGAGACTATGTAAACTATTTCTATACAGATTACATTACTGTTGGAATTATGATGAGTACCTTGAGCACTATAAATATAATTCTAAGCGGTGGTAGCTCGTTTGATTTTGCCTATAGTTTAAAAGATTCAAAAGCCAGGGTATTGCTATATTTCTTTCTTTGCGTCGCTTTTTGGCTAAGCCAGAACTTTCTGATAGAAACTGAAAGTAACTTTTTGTGGTGTACAGTTCCGTTTAACACATTTCTAATATTAAATGCTATATGGACAATTGGAAAAATTAATTTCACAAAAGCTTTTAAAATTAATAAGTTTCTAAACTGCTATGCCGCTTTTGTAATGGTATTTTCAATTTTATCTCTGATGAGTTCCTCATTTATAGAGCAAGAGCATTTTACATGGTATTATTGCATTTCAACTTTATTATTGCTTATGGCATTCAACGAATATAAATTAGTGATCAAGTCAATAATTACTGAAAATGCTACCTTTTATACATGGTCTACAGTGCTCTTAAATAATGGTAAAAAGTGGGTCCCACTTTTACTAGCTCATATATTTATGAGTAGGATTAACGCAAGATGTAAGCCTTAATTACTTTAAATTTTTATGAACTAATGGTTTTTTTGTTTTTAGCGAGACTAACAACTTTCCAAAATATTGCTGATATTATTATGTATGGAGAATGGAAAACACTAAAATTTATTTATCTTTTCATATCTTTAGTTTTAATTTTAGTAACAATCCAACAATACGATCAGAAATTTTCTAAAGTTTTAACTTTTATCACAATTGCCGGATTATTCTGTTACAGACTCTTGCAAGAGGGCATTATTTCACAAGAAATTACAAAATTTACTTTTTGGCATTTTCTTTTCTATTTTGCATTATTCACTATAATAATTTATAATTTTTCGCATTCCAGTGGGTCAAAACCTTTTACAACTTGTCTCACCGCACTAATATTTTTATTGTGTGTTTCGCATAGATTACAAAATCTTTTATTAATATCAGGATGCATTTTTACTTTAAATTTAGGGTTTAAAGCCTTAACTTGTATTTACAAAAGATCATCAGTTTTTAAATTGTTGATTGCTGAAAGTCTTTTTAGTTATGCTATAAGTAAAATGTTTTATTTTTATCAAGGAAACTCAAATAATTTAAGTTCAATAGATATTGATACCGGGTTTCTTGGTTTTGATTCATATCCAATATTAGTTGGAGTATCAGTATTTATAAGAACTTACAGTGCACAAATATTGTGCTTTGTTTTATTATTACACGAAGGTTTTAATAACTACAACAAAAAAGATATGTATTACTCTGTTTATATAATTTCTGCATATATTGTGGTACGATTGAATGTATATCTTTTTACTATGGTTATTTTAAAAAATCACCTTTTTATATGGAGTGTTTTTTCTCCGAAATTTCTTTATGAATTATCTGAACTATTTTTATTTTGTTTATTATTTATGTTGTTTTTTATTTATATAAGTTTTCATCAATACCTTAATCTAGCCAAACATACAATTTAGATTTTGATAAAACATTGCAATATATTAGAAATAAAATTGTGCCTCTTAAGTATTCATTTTAAACCAAAATTGTTTTCATTTTTAAGAGTTTACCATATCAAACGCTTATTTTTAATAAAGAAATCAATAAGGTACCAATATTCTTATCTATTATTATCGTGAAATAGAAAATTAATCACAAGCTACCAATTAGACAACCCATTGCAGAAGTGAACGTTAGTTTTTCATTTCAAGTAAAAACATTCACTTTTCCAAAAATTTATTGCCCAAAATCTCAAAATTCAATTATTTTAACAATGATAATTATGCAAAATATTATGTAATACGATCTTAAATTTTATTTTAAGTAATTTTCCATTACCTAAAAAATCCAAATATTTATTGAATTCTTCACTTCTTACACGTCGCAATGAATTATCAAATATAGGCAAGTTTTGAATTTGGCGATATAGTCAAATGCATTTCAGCAATGTAAAAATATTTTATTTTGGCAAAAAAATTTAGAATAATTAATCTTAAAATAACATTAATTTTTAAATTTTAACAATAGCTTTCCCAATGTTTTTTCCATTGAGCATTTCCATAAATGCATTTGGCATGTTTTCGAAGCCTTCTGTTACAGTTTCTCTGTATTTTATTTTTCCTTCTTTAACCCAATTTAACATTGACGCAAATCCTTCTCCAAATCTGCTTTTCCAACGTGAAACTATGAATCCCTCCATTTTCAATTGTTTAAAAAGCAGTAACGGTTGTACGATAGTTACTAAAAATATTTAAATTTGAAGTTGAAAAGTAATTATACCCACATTTTAAAAATTATAACCTTTAGGTAAATCTTCCATATTTTCGTTATAAACAGAGATCGATCCACATACTGAAACTCTACCAAATAAATTCATTTGTCTTAAAATAGTGGAACTGATTTCACCACCAACCTGTAATTTTAGAAATTATGTAATTATTTAATAATTAATTATTGGAATAAAAACTTACATTATCAAAATAACAGTCGATACCATTCGGTGCGGCTTCTTTAAGACTTTTTGTTATGTCGCAAGTTTTGTAATTGAAAGCATGATCAAATTGACATTCATTTGTTAACCATTTACATTTTTCATCTGTACCAGCGAAACCGACAACGATACATCCTTTTATTTTTGCAATTTGACCTACCAAACATCCTACTGCGCCAGCAGCTCCTGTTATAACAACAGTCTCGCCTTTTTTTGGTTGACATATTTCCAAAAACCCAAAAAAAGCAGTATTTCTTGAAAGGAAAAATTGAAAATGACTGAATTCACACAAAGCCCATAGGTATAAAATTAATTCAAAAATTCAAATTAATAGTAAAACAACACTAATAAAAATTTTCATAGTGACATTAAGAATTGTTACTATGTTCCACATAAAATTACCCGGGCATTCCTAAGCATCCTAAAGCGTAAGAATATGGTAAATTACCGAAATTAGGCAAAACAATTGGTTCATTTATAAAAGTTTCACTCAAATTTTCCGGATTAAAAATTGTATGGGTTTGCCATCCAAAATCCCCATAAATCATGCTTCCTGTCGGAAATTTGGAATGTTTGCTGTTTGTAACCCTTTGAAAATAAACAATTAAATTTTAGTTAGATAGTGGAGGTAGGTACTTATATTAAAAATGCGTATTATTTACTTTGCTATTTGTCCCCCAATCATTGTTGAACCTACTGGAAACCGGCTCATGTACGGACGCATATATGGATCAACACTCAAAAAAATGGCTTCACAAAGAACTTCTACAAAATCATATTAAAAAAAGGTTCTATTATTTTTTGAAATTCATTTTACCGTCATCCTTTAATTCCGGAAGTTCGAATTCTTCCAATTTAAAATTTTCAGATTTTGGTTGACCTTGAAAAGCTTTAGCGTAAATGAATTTTTTTGCTTTCACCATTTTTTAAATTCGTTTATATTTCTTTAACAAGCCGATTTAAGGATTTAAAATTGTTACTGATCAAGATCGAGTTAAAGCAACTTAAAAATAACAAACTGTTCACCTGTATATGTACATACATAAAAAAAGTACGTACCTATGTGGAATTTTTATTATTACCGTCAAAAATTATCTTGGTTTATAATAGATAAGGTTATACTATTAACAACTACAAAAACTTTTGACCGAGTGGTTGATGTTATTTTGAATTTGGATTAGATAAATATTATATATGAACACAAGCGCAAATGTATGTTCATAATTGTGGTTCATGCAGTTATCAAATGCGTATGTGTATGTAAGTTCTCGATCATGTTTTCCTATTTTACCCAGTAAGCACATGGTGGGATAATATTAAACTCCAGAAGATTACTCAGAATGATTTCGTTTCAGTTTAACCATCTATTTATACAATAAAACAATCGATGATACTGGTATTTTGATAACATCTAGTAGGTTCAAATGTAATATTTTTTTTTAAATCATTTCTTACATGCTTTTATTATTCTATATTGTTACATGCTTATAAAACTCTGCACAAAACGCTTTCGAATGTTGAATAAAAATTTATTGCAGTATTCCACTACAAATTTTTTACCTATTATGGCATTTATTTGATGAAATACCATTTTTTTTGGAACTTATAAGGTAAAATTCACAATCAGACTTTTGTAGTGCACTTCATCATTCGCAGTTCTTTCTAAAGGTAAAAAAATTCAAAATGAAAAATGCCTAAAATACTATTTTACCGCTGGTAGTTTTTTTTTTAAATTATCTGTTGTTCTAAATTAACAACGGAAAATGTTACCGTTGTTGTTCACTGTCCTAGTTCTGTTTCTACAATTAAACTCCAAGTTTTTTTTGACAACTTTCAAATGTTTTATGACAATTAGTCTTATTAGGTAGTTTGTCTCAGGGTGTCTTGAGAATATTGTAATTTGTTCAATTGTTTTACTATAATATGTGTAGAGAATATTTTACTATATTCTCTACACTCAATTCATAATACAAAACTCATTTTCCCAATTTTATTCTACAAATCAGTTTTTTTTTACAGTTTTGTAATATTTTTGTTTGAAAAAGAAAATATATCCAAATTAAGCAAAATTTTGCAAATTTAGAAAGGGTTATATAATATTCAATTTAATATTACTCCGTTATCATGGCGGATCCAGTACTTAACTGAAATTTTAATCTGCGTATATACGCTTTACGAGTTTGATATTATCTCACAAGTAATACATATTAATTTCCCATTTTAATCAATTTTCAAATTAAACTAATAATTTTATTCTATCGATTCTAATTGAAAATTTCAAATTGAAAATCTTTTTATAATTTTTACGTCTAGTCGGTAGGGTAAATTTCGAAATTCTTCAAGCTGCATGTAAACGAAGTATATATAAAATTACTTGCTCAGATAACCGTTCCAACACGAAGGTTTTCGGTAGCAAAATTGAAAAGTTTTATTGTACATATAGTCAAATCTTCAATGTGTTGCAACTTTTATCTAGGTTTGGTAAAGATATACATATATATTATATTTTCATTCAATTTTCTTAAAGGAAATGTTTTTAATCCAATTTTTGTTTTTATATTGTAAAAGCTTTAAAATTTTTTACAACAATATTTTAAATTTTATATCGTATAAGTTCTCATAAATTTATTAAAGTTTCTATATTTAGAAAATTGGATTCATCTATTTTCAGTTTTTCATTTGATAAATCAATTGTGGAAACCAAAAATGAAGAAATAAATAAAAAAGTAATTTCATTCCACAAATTTTCAAAATTATTTATGTATTATTGATTTATTGACTATTTCGATTTTCATAAAATTGCCAACTCAATTTTGTAACATCAAAGGACAGATTGTGTACTTCAGAATTTGAAACTTTGACATTTTCTGTAGATGTCAAACAATATAAAGTGAAACTAAATTCGGCGAGAAAATTGTAGGAAGCCGCATATACATAGTTTATTAATTTTTTTTTAAATAAAATATTAAAAATATTGATAAGTTTTAAGTGCAATTTTTAATTTAAAATGTTAAGCTAGAATTGAATAAATTTTTAATTAAAATATTTTGCAATATTTAAGAGAAGAACTGTTTACAAATTTTTATTTTAGTGAATAAAGTCGAATCTGACATTTGTTAGTTTTTGAAGTTGTACACAATTTTGATACACAAATATCCAATAAAACATTTTTTTTATAAAAAAATTATATTAATGTCTCTTATAAATGATTATATTTAATAAAAAAACATTCATTTTTAAAAGTAAACATATTATTCCATTTAATAATGTAAGAATTTGGAAAATTTAACTATTAAGGAAAAGGAATTTCTTTATTTCTAAATACGCCGCATCTTTCCAATGAACAGACGGAATTATAAAATTTTAAGGAAAATTTTCTAAACAAACCCAATTTTGTGTTGGGTTTCAATTCATCAATTATGAATGCCACAAGCTTATATGTAACAACTTCCCGATTAGTTTTTCAAAGTGAATATGGCAGTACAGATCAAAACTGGACAGACCTTTACCGTCTTGTTCCATATTTAAGACAATCACTATCTTGTCTTGTGTGCGGAAAATTATTAACTGAACCTCAAAAGCCAAGTGATGGCAAGTGCCAGCATCATGTTTGTAAAAAATGCATTATCGGGAGAAAAATTCTAAAGCCTAGTTGTGTACACTGTCGAGATAACAATGATTTGGACAGTTATGAGGAAAATATACAAATGCGAATATTATTGCAATGCTACAAATATTTATGCCAATATATAATGAGTACAGCTTTATACAAAACTAATATTGTTAATTCAGGTCTTTAATTCATTTTAGTCAATTTTGGGTAAATTATTTATAATTTTAATATTTATTTTAGGTGGGGCATTAAATGGCACGGACGCTGCGAAAGCGACGTTACTGCAATTTATTGAAGAAGGAGCAAATTTTCCAGATAATTTTAAAGCAAACTCTGGTTTAACTAAAAGTGCATACTCAATATTACCATGTGTTTTCAGTCCACCTTTGCCTTCCAATTCTCCAGCACCATTGTCGCCGCAGCCTTCTTCTATTGTACAATCTCCACCAATTCCACTATCCCATTCTCCGCAGTTATTGCAAGCTCAACCATTAAGTAGTCCAACGTTGATTATTCAACAACAGACTTCCCAACCAGTTTTTCAGACATCGTCACCACTTATACAAATTCATCAACAATGTGGAACATATCCTAAAAAAATTTTACAAAATCAAATTCAAAAAAGCCAAACTGCCCAGCAGCAACCTTTGCAACACCAAACCCCACCACCACTTACATTAGTTAGTAATTCTGTTTGTTTAAGTCCAAGTAGTGCAAATCCAAATTTGAAAATTACTAAAAGTAACACAGTTGCACAGCCGTCAATTAAAACATTTAATAGCATAAGCAACATAGGAAATACTAAAGCTGTGAATATAAATCAAAATCAAGTGCAGAATAATGTAATTAGTTGGCCAAAAAATGGAATTCCTATTATTTCTTCACCAGTGAATGTAAATTCTAATATTTCTGCAACATCAAATGACCAAAAACCGTGCTCTGCGACGACAATATCACAAACAGTTCCAATTAGAAATCCACCTCCAATAAAAACTGTTTCGAATGGCTCTGCTATGTATTCGGTTTTGTACACTGGAATAGGAAACAAGATCACTATCAAGAGGAAAACTGATGGGGAAGATGAAATAAAAGTATATTTATTTAGATTTATTTTTCATTTATTCATTTGTATGCTTTTCTTATTTTAGAAAAATAATATTCAATATCCTCCACCACGTCCATCAATTAATAAAACGGTTTCAAAAAGAAGAGGTTGTCGATGTGGTAATGCTACAGCTACGCCAGGAAAATTGACTTGTTGTGGTCAAAGATGTCCATGTTATGTGGATTCAAAATCATGTATAGACTGTAAGTGTCGCGGATGTAGAAATCCCCATCGACCTGACGGTTGTAAAATACGACCAGTTATACCGGAACTAGCATGCTATGAAATACAAATTGCTGATGATAGTACAAATTTATCACCAAATACTTCAATGACATCTATAGCTACATCATCTTCAGCTACAACAACAGCTAATTTCGCGCAACAAACTCAATTACAGCAACCATTTCAAAAAGCATCTCCAGTTTCATCTTCAAAAATAAATGCAACAAGTTTGAAAAATTGTACAATGGAAATACCATTGGATGATTTTAATGCCTCTAACACCAGCAACTTGTTAGGTAACATAGTTGTTGCATCACCTCATATAACGAATGCATCATCAACAACATCAACAACGTTTACATATACAACACAGCCTACATTTGTAGTTAAAAAACCACAAACGATAACAATAGGAACTAATCAAGTAAAAAGGCAGCAAATTCAACAGCAGCAGCAACAGTCTACACAAATACAACCTCAAACTATAAAAATTGAAAACACCTCAACTGAATCTCTTTTAATAAAATCTGCCGATGGAAAATATCAAGGTAAAAATATTTTTTTTTTTGTGCATATATATTTTCGTATATAAACACTAACACAATTTGTTTTCAGTGGTGAATGTTTTCACATCAACTCCTTCCCATCCAAATTCAACATCAAATTTTGATCGTTTTACAGCAGCATTACCTATACAAACAAGTAGTTTAGTGACAACAAAACATCATATTCCAGAAATAAGTACAACATTGCCTCAAATAATAATGCAACCTCAATCTCAACAAAATACAACACCAACAATATTGTCAGCATCGTCTGCCTCAAATTATCAAACAAATAACATAAATAATTCATCACTTCATAATCATCATCAACAACAATTAATTACTACAACGCAACAAGTTTCATCACCTACAACAATTACTTTATCTCCAATCATTGTTACATCGTCAGACCAGAGTTTTCCAACAGAAATATTCAGTGAAGAGGAAATTACATCATCATCTTCTCCATTGCCTCATCCTCCACCATTACATTTTTCTGGTAATCATCACCCACATCTCGTGGAAGTGGTCCATGCTGATGATCTTTAAGTTACCTCATTTATATATTAATTCCTTAGCAATGAAAATAGCTTAATTGATTTTCAAATTAACTGAAATTATTACAAGACATTAGAAAAAGTTCTGTTCTGAATTATTTAAGAGAGAAAAAGTGACAGCTTTTTTCATATTTTTATATTTGATTTCATTTGTTTATAATAAGCAAAAAAATATCATATCACTATTATTTTAGAAAAAACACAATGTATATCTTTTTATCAGTTAATCAAAAATTTTAGTTTTACCCCCTAATATATTTTGTATTTAAGAATTTCTTACTACTTACCAATTTGTGTTCTAAGTAGCTTACGGTGTTTTCTTCAATGTTCCTTGGTTATGTTTTTTTAGAATATAATTTTTGGGTTGCTTGCCTCGCAAAAAATTCATTTAATTTTTCAAAATTGGAAAAAAAAATATTCAGAATAGTAAAATTTTCAATAAATTGTAATGTTTTTGTTGTAATATTCTCTATGTCTCATACTCTAAAATAAGGTTTAAGTTATTAAATATAAAGAGGAAACCAAAAAAAAATATATATAGAAAATGCAAATATGTTATTACTCTTCTCATTCTTATGTCTGACTACCATTTTCATGATTAATAATTACTTTTGACTTCGTTAAAAGGAACCAAATGAATTGATTTGAAAAATATAAGTTATTATATATGAGATTTTCATATGTATGTACCAAAATTTAACACAATAGATTTTAAAATGGTTGTAAAATAAAATCAAATCTAATGTACTATTATTTCTGCTTAAAGTTCAAAATTAAAATGTATCATATGCATTTGAAAACAAGTGTAGAATATACTTATTTTTAAAGCATTTGACAAGCTTATATTTTTTAAGAACCTTTTACAATATAAAAATTTTAAAATTTTATATGTAAACAATTTTTGATATGCATTTTAGTAAAATATGATATCATAATTAAAAATTTGTTGAAAATTAATTAATTGTATATTTTGTTCATTCAAATTTGTAAGTATTGTATAACTCTTACAATCAATAACAATAATTATTAAAAGTGAAAAAAATTCTTTTCTTCTGTAATCGTATCATAAGATTTAAAGTAGAATTCAAATTATATAAGCTTGTTTTAATCGATTTAATGAGGCCATATTAATTGGAATTTTATTTACTTTGTTAGTTTTCAATTGTAGGGTTTTCTGAATTGAATACAAAAATTGATAATTCAATTTTGTATTTATTTAACTTTTTGTTTTTATATAATTATTATATTGCAATTTTATCTTTTTGTAAAAGATGAATATTAGTTGTTTCATAAATTTTTTTATCTCATTTTATTTTTCTGTTTAATTATCTTAAGTCATTTATGTATATATTTGTATTTATAATTAAATTTAGAATGAATTACTTCCAAAATGGAATTGTAAAGCAAAAATGAAAACAAAATCATAGTAATCAAAAGAGAAAGAAAATTATTGAATGAGAAACTATGTTGTAATAAAATTAAAAAAAAAAAAGAACTCTTAAATTTTTTCTTTAAAACCTTAAAATTCTTATAAGTAGTAATTTATGTAAAATTATGAACTAAGTTTTAGATTAAGCTGTATTAAATATTAAATTTTATTTAAATTTTAAATTAGAAATAAAAAAGTTTTAGCAATAGAAAATGTAAATGTCTTTGAGTCAAAATATTAAAATTTGTGTAATTTGAATTTTCAATAAGAAAATAATTATTATTTTTTTAGTAAAATTACTTTATTTTTTTTGCAATAAGATTACATTTGCACAAATAACGACAATAAAATTCTGCTTATTTGGAAAAAATAAACAAAATTTTTGAAAGTGTTAAACTTACTAATTTTTCATAATTTCTTTATCAAAGAAAATTTAAATATACAAAAGAATTCCATAAATAAATTTAATATTGAACAATTGAAAGTTTTATTAATATTTTTTCATTAATACTCATAATTAAATATATATGCAAAATATTTTTATGCAAAAATTATATTTTTGACTCAAAAACTTTAACATATAAAAAATAATGCTTTTTATATTGAGATCGAAAAAATTACAAAGGAATATTGGATAATTTAGAAAAAGAAAGGGCAAAATCAAATATTAATATTTTATAATTTAAAAACCAAACCACCTTATTAAATACATATATTCATTTTTTAAATTTCAATTTTTTTTTTATTTTTTCTTAATTATGAACACTGAAATTGTAATAATATAATAATTTTAACATAAATATTACTGTGATAGGTTAGAGAAAAGCAATTCGATAAGCATGAAATTTTCAATGCAAATTTTTGTCCCATATTAAATTTTCAAAAAATTCAAAGATTTCAGATTCCAGAATTCAAAGATATTACGGCAATGAAATATTAAAACACAATTAAAATAAAGCATTTATAAGATCTAAATAATTTCATATTATGTAGATTGATTATATTATTAAAAATTATAATACTTTTATTAGATATTTATAATTTATTTTTTTTTTTTATATAATTTTATAATTGCAAACCAATATTATACTGGATAATATAATGATTATTTTTAGATAAATCACTAATTTATTCTTTTATCAATTTTCCTTTCATGTAATTTTATTCGATATTCTAATATACTCGTTTCATACCATTTTGCATTCAAAATCTCAATTTATTAAAATAAAAATCACTAATTTCTTTTTAAGATTGAAATAAACTTAAAAGAAAATTTTTAAAAAAATCAAAAACAAAACAAAAAAAAAAATATTCGTGTATCATGTTAGAAAAACCTCAGTCATATTTTATTGTTATATGAGTGCGATTTGATATGTGATTTTCTTATACAAAACTTATAATAAATAAATGTAAAATAAATAAATAAATTATCATTTGTATTGTATAACTAAAAAAAAACTCAAAATTAATTTTATGAAAAACTAAAAATGTAGTTTTCGTATAATTAAAGAAATGTTAGAAATTTATTATTTTTTAGGAAAATTGTATTGTATAAATTAATATAATATTAAGAAAAAAAGAAGTGTGTTTTCATATAAAAAAAAAACAAATAATTACGCTGCACAAAAATATCTAATAATTTTAAAATTTTGTAACCATTAAAGAAAAATGTCATAATTTCATCTACCAAGATGTAGAAATTCAATTCGATCTATGATCAGTAAAAGTATATTTAGTATCCTTTTCGTTAAAACAACTTTTCTAATTCGAGCAAATATAACTACCTACAAAATAAATATTGAATTTTCTTAGATTTTAATCTAAATTGATTAAAATTCTAAACATAAAATATGAATAAAACTCTTCCATTTTATTTAAGCCAGGATGTTTATTTTTAATAGAAAAAAAGCAATGATCCTTTAAAATAAATAAAACATATGACTTTAGTTTGATCTATTAAATTTATAGTCACGGTAATATAACTTCAAGATAATATATAAATATATGCACATATGTAAAATTATTATTTTCAATTAACTCAATTTAATTTTTTAAATATTGCAATATTAAAAATTTTTCAAAGTTTTCGATATATTATATACGCATGGAGGTATGTATTCTCAAATACGATTTATGGATTTGGTACGGTAAATGACATTAATTGCAATTTCATATTCTGTTTAATATTATCTAATATTTGATCAATTCTTTTTGGATCTTCTGGTGGTGGAATAGCTTCTAGAGCTTCCATAAAAAATGTTCTAAAAATTAAAAAATTATTTTTTTTTTTTTTTAAGTATGTACACTAAAATTTTTCATTATCAAAATTACTTTGCTGTTTCGTTACTATATAATTTTAATGCATCTCTAATTAATCGTATATCTACATTAGCTTGAATAGCTCCTGAACGACTAAAGTTTTGAACGCAACTCATTAATCTCGCTAATTCTTCTGCAATGGTTTGGGTTATTGGTTCCAGAACAGGACGTAATAACGATGGTGAGATAGTAAATATTTCAGAATATACTCCAACCAAATTATCACAACATTCTTGAGCATATGGTCTTAATTTACCAATTTCCATTTCAGAATCCCATTGAAATTGTGCAATATACATGGAAGGCTCTATTGTACCAACCAGGGGATCACTTTTACGTTCCACGAAATCTTCTAATAATGTGGTAAATAATTGATTCATAGATGCGCGACTTGTTTCAATAGCCAATTTTGGTAATGGATAACCATATCTTGAAAAGTACACATAAATATATAATTAAGTAAAAAAAAGAAAATACTAAATATATTGCTTACTTGACAAAAATAGTCCCGATATGAGGAAAGAAAACTTTGCTGCAGTATGAACAATTTGCTAAACAGCAGAGAATTCTTTGTTCCCAAGATGTAGCTGAATCCCAGTTTTTTCTTTCAACACCATTTTGTTGGAATGACGAAAAACCTAGTAACGAAATGGTCGGTTGATGTCCCTCATCATCTTGTGATTGCGAAGCTAAATTTTCAATAACACTACAAAAGGCAGACAACATATCCTGAAGTTTTTGTGAAAGTTCTCTTTGACCTTCAGATTGGGACTCTAATAAATTACCTTCTCTATAAACGTGTAAATAAATATTATACTTGAATTTTTTTTGCTTTTAATTTAACATTTCACCTTATTTCAGGGTTCATACATGCATTTTGTCCTTCTTCTAAAGTTTCCACAATAATTTCTTCCAGCATTGATGGCAACATAGTTGCCCCAGGAAAATCTTCAACACCCATTATCCATGTCTCCTTTTGCACAAGTTTTTTTACACGATCAATAGAACGCTTGAAAATTGTTGAAAAACAAAATAATCTCAAGTCATCAATAAATTTTTGTACAATATCAAGCGCTTCACTAGGCAGATCTAACTGTATTAAGGTTGCATACGCGATTCGCATATATCTTAAGCACTGTGGAAGCCAGAGTAAAAATTGTTGTGTTACAGATGACGAACTGCTTGGCCAACTAAGACCAGTGGTCTGACGCATTAATCTTTGATCTAACTGAACCAGTAGAACCACTCGAAGGAATGTGCAAAATTTTTCAATACTGCTAAGGATAATTCTCTATAATAAATTAATAAAATAATTATAAACAGTAATTAAAATTATATTTAAGCATACTTTAAAATCTCCTGGTTTGGGATCACTAGTTCCCCGTAATTCTCCGGTAAAATAACTTTGACCTAAACGCCATAGATCAGGTAGTTGACTTGCCGCAATGTCACATATTTCTTCACAAAATAAAACACGATTTGGTGGTTGATTCGGATCACGTTCTCTAGATTTTGACTCTGAAAAATAAGATTCTAAACTGAAATTTGGATTGTATCTAAAAATTTTTAATAAAATTGAAATTTTTCTGTACTTTCTTTCTCAGAATCTTTCGAAGCCATTAAATCAAAAGTTTGCTTAAAAGTTTGTTCCAGGTATTTAGCTCTTGCATCTATTGCGTCCCAAGCTGGGTCGATTGTTCTTAGTCTTTCATTAACAAGCATTCCAGATTGTTGAATCTGTAATTCAATAATAAAAATAAACATGCATACATTTTTAATTTCAAATTATTAAAATTCTTAACCTCCAAATTAACTAAAGCTTTTATTAATTTTTTCTGCTGTTCTACACTCTGTGGCATTTTCACAACTTTTTCGTGAAGTTGTTTACGTACGTTGAGAACTCTATGATCAACTTCGTCAAGAACTTTTTTGAAAATCTAAAATACAATAGTTTAATGTAAAAAATTTATTCATTTGAGCAAAAGAATACAGGAATTTCAGTTTTTCCGAAAAGATTTCTTGCACGTGAATAATCGTTGACAACAATATCGTATTCTCCAGCTGCCGCACTTTTATCTATTGCATTTGGGAGACAAAAAAGGAATCTAAAACAATATAACTATTCAAATGTATTCTATTTATATATAAAACTTTACCTATGTCTTGAAAGAGCAAAAAGGGCAGCTCGTGTTGAATCAGCTTTCTCCTTTCTGGTTAGCACATCATTAAAAATATTTTTACTCTCCTTTATTGAACCTACAAATTAAGTGTTAATTTGTTACTGTATTTAAACGAATCACATCGCATTTACTTTCAATGGACAATTCTAATTCTTTTAACGGTTCTGGCCCGATTTCTTTTAAATCTTCTTGAAATTTTTCTCTTATATTCATAAGCGTGTCTAACTGATCTATGACTGAACCAGCGTTACTCTTTAAAAAGGATAATTGTCCTTCTTTTTGGCTTTCCACTTTTCTTTTTAAATAAGCTAAACCGGCCTTTAAGTCCTCGAAAGAAGTTCCGTGATGATTTTCAAGTAAAAACCAACCAGGCGAAAAATTTTCCTGTGATAAATCTCCATTGCAGTCTGGAAATATTTCTCGTAGATCTTCGGGAAATTTTTTTTCATTTCCTTCTATTGAGAGCCCAAGGGGATCATCTTGTGTATACCCGGATGGTGCAAGTGTTCTTCGACCCCATGTTAATGACTGCATCGGTGATTCCTCAATCCAAACTGCTGATTCTTTAAGGGGGCCAATTGTCTCATGATATGCTCTAAATTGAACAGTAGAAGTACCAACACCACCACTTACTGTTGTAACAATAATATCACCTTTCCCTTTAGCGAAACCGGTTCTTGCAATAATTTTATTTGATGACTTCCATTCAGCTGACAGAAGACAATCAGTCCCACAAATAGTTAAACCTTTTGCGAATTTTAATAACGTTTAATTTTTTAAAGAATTTGTTCAAAATTTAATTGTTACCTATAAGATCAGTTGCTCTTGTACCCAAAAATTCTCCTCTGATAGTTACACGAGTACCAGGCGGACCTTCTTTCGGTGATAATCCAGTTACTACAGGTTGTGGGGCCATACCCAGTGTCACAATATTTAATTACAGAGTTTTAATACTTTTTAGCTTTCTATGGTATTTTTTTGTCCCACAATTATTTTGAGAAACGATTATAAATTTATATAAAATAAAAACATTCAGCTCTGATAAATCATAATTTTAATTTACTTCAATAATCAAAACAAAATATTTTGATAGATCTACTGTCTACATTACATACTGTAATGTAAAATAAATATGACTAATAAAATATTTTTTGAATTAGTATTACCAGATTTAGAAAAACCAAAAGATTGAGAAATAATCTCTGCCCTCGGGAGCCTTGATATGATATTCAAATCTACTTGGGTTCATTAAAAATAATACTTGCATTTACAAATGTAAATTTATAAACAAAAAATGCGCATATTTATATATTAGATAGTATAGATCTTTAAATAATTTTAAAGATTTTATATACAATTTAAAGAAGCGCCATAAGTAAAAACAGAACAAGAGCGATTTTCCGCATCGAAATGTCAAAATTTATTGGTCGAAATTAAGTGAAATTACCGACGCGAACATTAATCAATTGCGGTATTTTTGACATAATCTGTTTCCATGGGTGTGTAATATTATGCACATATGAAAAGACCACTGCAATATGTGAACAAAACAAAGTGAATTAAACTTAAAAAAAATAAACGGTAAAAGTAAAAATTTGTTATTTTTTTAAATTTGTTTTTTATTGAATAAATTTTGCTTAAAAAAATAAAAATTGGAGTCAAACAAAAGGAATCAGAAAAAAATACTTTTCAATGTTTCAACTCTCTGACTTTGACTCCGCTGCTCTGTTATTCTACGTATACCAAAAATTCACACAACTTACTTATTGAGAAGAGAAGAATTCTTACTTACAAGATAAGAAAAAAACTATGTATTGATTTACATACATACATACATCGTATATATATATATATAATTTGTAATATGTTTTTAAGAGTAAATCTGAGTTTGGAATTGATTTGCGCTGAGTGTGATAACAAATAATTGCGTTATTACGAAGTATGGTCTTTAAATTTACAAAAATGAAATGAAATTGAAATAAGTTTTAAATAGTAGACAATTTAGAATTAATTTAATTTGTTTAGAAAATGTAATTTTAGTTGCTGAATAAAGTAAAATATTGATTTGATTTTTTTTTTGGTTAATAATTTCAATATTATGAATGCATGTAAGTTGTAATGCAATTTTTAAAGATAATATGGAGAATAGAATAAAGTAAAAAATCAAATCAATTTAGAATTAAGATCTAATATTGAAAATATTGCACGAAAAAAATGAAACTTCAGTTTTTAAAAAAAATAAATTTATTTTTTCATATCCCTTCTTAATAAAATCCCTTCTACCGTAATACAAATTGATAGTAGCATCGAGATAACATCGAATTAAATAAGATCAGTGTGATTTCCTGTAAGAATTTTCCTTTCTCTAACGTCTCTTTTTTTATTGTCCCCTGCTTTTAAAATTTTTACAATAACATTTTTATCGTAATCTTTGTAACATTTTTATCGTATTCTACAATATAGGCTCGTACATACGAATATACGTTCATTTTAAGATTCTTGTAATACTATAATTTTGTTAAATTAATTGCATAAAGTCTTTAGAATAACAAGTTTCAAAATTTTAAATCTGATATACGATTATCAATATCTGTATAACATTAATTTTTAAAATATTACTATTTACATACCATAAAATATGATAAAGTTGTCTTTATGACTTTTCTCAATCTCAATAGCCATACTATTTTGATCTTTATCAAATAATTTGTACAAATAAAATGTACGTATGTATGATTTTATTTCATAGAGCTTCACAAAAGATTTAAATTAAAGAGAATTTTTAAGATTTTTATTTTTTGTTATTAATTTGGAAAAAAAAATTTGTGTTATTCGTCTTGAGTATATTTTCAAAGATTTCATTTTATTTGAACTTTGACGTAGAAAAAGATCGTTTTATATTGATATAATTTGCAGCAATATAATCTGTAATCAGAGAAAAAAAAAAAATAAATAATTGAATTAATAAATCAGTACCTACACAGTGGATTTATTAATATTAGAACGTAGTCTAGATTCAGTCTGAATGAATAATATTCAAATAACATATTTATTAAATTTTATGTAAAATTAATATTACAAAAAAAAAAAAATGTTTAAAATGAAATTACAAAATATATTTTTTATTTTCATATTAATTTCTATAAAAACAATTTTAGCCAATAACGATGAAAGTATGTACATACTTAAAATTGGAAAATAGTCGACTTATTTAAATTTTTTACTTTATCATAATTTTTTTTTTTTTTTTTCATAAAAGGTGATTCAACTTCAGACGAAGATCATTCGGATTTAGATGATTATAATACACGTGTAAGTGAAAATCGTTTAGCAGCTCAAATGTTTTCTGCTTTAGAACATTATAAACAAGAAGATCCTGTTGGATTTCCTAATGCTCCGATAGCAGATCCAATGGATATTCCCGATATAAAAAAATCACTTGGTATGGCAGTATTGAATATGAAACAAGTTAAAGCATATGGATTATCAAAATTTCGTGTTAAACATGTTAATGTTGATTTAAATAAATTAAAGGTATCCTATATTAATTAATTATACGTACATATATATAGTTTTTAATAATTTTTATTGTAAATATTAAAATATTTTAGGCTGGTGTAATTGTTCAACTTGATAATTTGAATGTACTTGGACGTTATACTTTAAGTTCATTTCTATCAAAAGCTGAAGGACCATTTACAGTTGTTTTAAAAAATGTTATTGTTTCTGGTAATGCATCATTAGAAGTAAGATTGGATGGTAAATTGGCAACAGAAAAAACGAATATTGATATTACATTTTCTGATATGACAATGGATTTTCAAAATTTAGGTTTTCTTGGTGCTGTATTTCAAAGTATAATTAATTCGGCACCAAATTTAGTTTTTGATTCAATGAAACCATTTATGATTAAAGAAGCTGATACAAAAATTAGAAATGAAATCGATACAAATATTGAAAAATCATTAGGTGATTATCGTTTTCCAAATTCAATTTCACCATTAGATATGGCAATTGCTGAAGGTAGAAGAAAAGTACGTGATATGGGATATGATCCATTTGATGTAACTGATTATAATCGTACTGTTGGAATATTTTCGGTTAAAATGTCAAAAACTTGGATAACTGGTGTTTCATCATTTTATAGAGTTGGAGATGTTGTATTAAAAATGGATAATAATACAGTATCAACAAGAGTACAAGTGGGTACACAAGCAATTAAAGGTGCATCTCAATGGGAAATTAGTGTTGGACATGGTATGATAACAAGAATTGGACATGTACATTTTACAGTTCAACATATTCGTGTAACATTAGAATTAAGTCAACCACTTGATACAAGAAAACGACCAATAATTAATGATTTGCAAATTGATTTAGGAAATATTCAAGTACGTTGTGATGGTGCTGGTACATTTGATTATGTTATGGAATTTCTTGTTAATGTTTTACCAAATATTTTACGCTATCAAATAATGGATGCTATAGAAAACCCAATTAAAATGAGACTTCAAGAGAAGCTCAATCAAATTGATGTTGAAAGAGCAATTAAAGAAAATTTATATAAATTCGAAAAAATGGGAGGTGATTTTCGATTTGATTTTAAATTTTAAGATTTTAATTCTTTTAAATCAATTTTCAATAAAGAAATATAAATTCAAATTTTTATAAATAATTGGTCATACATTTTAAAGCCAAAAATTTTTAGTTAAAATTTATTATTAATTTGAGAGAATTTTCAAAATTTAGATACTATAATTGAAGAATTTTTAGATTTTAATGAAGAAGGGACCTTCAAAGACCAAAGTCTAGCCATATAAATTAAAATTTGTTTCCCTTAATATGGAGTAATAAAAGGAGCACAATAAAATAGATTTATAAAATTATTATACGTATAACGTATATAGCAAAAATGTTGTTTTATTTAAAAATATGTAAAACCTTTGCCTTAGTTTTATCTTTTATTTATGCAATTCATGAACGAGCATTTTTTAGCACCGAGTTTAATTGCTTTAATTTGTTTAACGGGACATAAATTTCGGACAAAGTCTGCAGTTCCTAATAACTTTATTGTTACTGAATAATGTTCAGATTAACAATAGGCAAATAAATAAATAAATAAATTGTGATAATTTAAATAATTTTTTATTTATGAAGACAAAATACACATGTACGTACGATTTTAAATCAAAAACAAGTGATAAATCTATTTTAATGAAGTTATTTATCCATAAATATTATATAAATTTTTCTCAATTACAATTTTAATTTTTCAAGATGGGCTGCACTTTTGAACGGAATATTAGCCTAAAATATTTAAGAAATTAAATTTATTATATTAATTTTTTTTTGGTTTAATATATTTACTGCAATTGTTGTATGAAAATTATCATAATCCACAACATAAGATTGCTTCATTTGACTATAATCAATTATATTAGGAAATCTTTGACCCCATAGTATTTCGTGAGGTAAATAAGATGTTCTTGATTCTGTAGATTGTCCAGTTAATGGAGAATGTCCAACTAATGAAATAAAAACTTCGAAATTTTTCGTATGAAAATCAATTGCGGTGAATTTATAAAATGGACTATTCTTATTTATAACATGACAAATTGTTTCTGGCCATGTTATAATACCTGTACCATCACCTTCTATTTTTAATTCTGTATTAACTTTCATTGTTTCACCTTCTGGTGTTGTTGCATCGGCAACTAAATATGCCCGGATTTTTGTACCAATACATTTTTGTTCTCTAGGATCACAAACCCGAAATATGAAACAAAATTTTCCATCTCTTAAATGAATCTAAAAATATTTGAGAATATTATACATACATTTATATATTTAAGTTTTTATATTATTATTTTAAATTTTATATTATTTTTATACTTACACATGCAGTTTTACTAAATGTAAATTTTGATAATAATTTTACTGGTTTAGCCATTTTAGCATAAACAACAGCAACAATTGCACCTTCGAATGCAATTGATGATATAATTTGAAATACAAAAAGGAAAACACCTTCTGGACATTCTTCGGTTGGATATTTTTCACCAAAACCAATTGTTGTTTGTAATTCCAATGAATGAATAAACATTGCAGTCATATCATATGCTCCATGTACACATGGTTTTTTACCTTCACCAATTCGTTGTTTTGTTAATGGATCAAAATCTAAATCACCATGTGCTTTAGCAATTAAATACCATAAAACAGCAAATAATATCCAACTTCCAACAAATATTATAACAAAAATAGATAAAACATATGACCATTCTAATTCAATCTAAAATTACATACATATTTACATTATTATTTACGAAATAAATATTAATATATTTATCTTTAATATATTTACTAAAGTTGTAATTAAATCCTTCCAATATTTTAATGAACGTTTTGGTATATTCTTAAATGAAACATTTTGATAACCATTTTTTCTAATTAATCTTCGATTAATATTCCTTGAAATTGATTTACGTATAAAACGATCTTCAACTAAAATTATTTAATAATTTTAATTTATAAAGTTTATGTAGATAAATTTATATTTTAATATTATTTAATATACCAATTCCACCAAATTCATCATCGTCACTGGCACTGTCATTAGTGTCTTCTTGTTTATTTACTTCAATTGTACTTCCGAACCATCCTTGACTACCTCTTCTTTCACCTAAACCAACTGATGAAGCTTTTCTTGTATTACTTGTACTAAAAAATTAAATAAATTTAAAATATATTTAAATAAATAATTAAGTTATTAAAATTATTATTTTTTTTTATTTAATCTTATTTTAGTTGTAAACAAACCTCATTATGTCATAATATTAACAACTAGAAAATTAATTTAAGTTTTACATAGGCATACAAGTAATTTTTGGTATATTCGAATTTGTGTCGAAAACTTTTTCGAATTTTTTCGGATTGAAAAAATGAAAATAATTCAATATGAATGCAATAAATTTTTTTTTTTTTCGAATTATACCTTGTCTAAGCACTATAATCTGTTGAACTAAAATGCAAAAATTAAATTCAGTGTGGGATTCTTCTAAGAATTTAAACTAAATTCAAGATTTAAATTCTTAAATTTTTTTTGTTTTTTTATTCTTTAGTATAATTATAGTTATATTTGTATGTACTTATTTTAAATTATGTCCGGAAACATTTCTTCTTTGTTTATTCAATAGTATATAACCTAAATTACTTTAATTGAATTTTTCTCACTTAAGATATATTTTAATATAATTTGAAGTGAGAGATGCAAATAGAATTTTTCTTTATATGTAAATATAAAATATTATACAAGTTTGAATTATTTATTTTAAAAACTTATATACTGTATGATAGTTGAGAGAGAATTTACATGAAGGTAATTTTATATGTATGTATGTATGTATGTACATAAATCATTATAATGTTTGTTCAAAAGAAAGGAAAATTTTTCATCTCTTACAATAATATAAAATTTGTTTTTATTTCATATAATAATTCTGATTCATTTAAGATTAAAATATTTTTTGTTCTTTTACAGCTAATAGCTTTAATTTTTTTTATAAACCTTTAATTTAATTGATAAATTTTGACGTCATAAATCTTTTTTTAATGTCTTGTAAACTAGTATACATAATATGCCTGTATATATATCTATGGCTTAAGTGATATACTGTATTGTAAAGATAAATCATTTAAAAATATTTACAAAATTATCTTTATTGCTAAAGAGATTTGATAGGTGCATAATATAAACAAATCACGCATATTGTGTAGATGTTGACTGTATAGATAATAATATAATAATTAAGAATTGACAGGGTCGGATTTATGATTACATGCATCTATTTAATTATGTATTGGCCTGTACTTTTTAAAATATAATAGATTTTTTTTACAATATTTTACTTTAATAACTAAAGCAACATTGTTGTATTTCATATATTTTCTTGCAAATATTATTAAATAAAATTTTATATTTTCGGAATATTTACATTAAATAGTTTTTAATAACAGTTTACCTGTTTTGTTAACAAATATAATATACGTTGTAAAACCATTTTTAATATAATATTAAGTTATAATTCTAAAAATGAGTTTAAAGCAGAACGAGTTTATTCGGGAAAGAATTAATGAATTATTATTTAAAATGTTTTAAAATTAAATAAAATTTAAATTTTTTATTTCATCAAAGTTTCTTAGCATGTCTACATCGTTCGAATTCGAATATAGAGCGTAACATTATAATTCTGATAATTTTTAATTAATAAATCAAATCTTTATCATAAATATTTTATCTTTTATAATAATAAACATCTTTGTTATACAAAAAAATAAAACAATACCTCATACTGAGCTCATTTTGTATAAAATAAATATAATTTAGTGTCTTCTTGCCTTATATATGTTGTAAATTAATTGGTTCTTGTTATCATATTATATTTTTATCATAAACTAATTCAGAACATATTATAATAAATTAATTTACATAATTATATAATATGAAATATTAATTATATTATTATAAATTTGATTAAATTAGACTAAATTATTAAAAGATAAATTTAAAAATAATTCAAATTTGAAAACAAATCAAATTCTTATACAATTTGTTTACGAGAGCTATTCTGACTACCGTGAAAATTTTGTACCATTATAAACTTTAATGAAAATATAAATAAGTATATCTGTTATCGGTGATTTTAAGTGAGCAGTACATAAAATTATTTATTTAATATTAGATCACATCTATGTATAGCCAAATTGCATAGATATTTATATTATATTTTAAATATATTAAATTTTTTTTTTCAATTATGTCACAATTAAGTTTTTTTATTTTTTAATGATTATATTTTTAATTAAAATTTAAAGGTTTTTTAAATGCATTTATATAATTACATTTTGTATTAGGAAAGTAATTATTTAATTTCAGTAAATTCATTTTATAGTAAATATAATTGAAAATGTATATGCATGTTTTAAAATTTTTTTACACCGCTTGGTTCGCTATTACATTAATATAACTTAAAATTTGAGAATAAAAGCCTATTTCCACAAAAAATGTTTTAAGTGCTCCCTTTATCTCAACTCAAAAATAGTATATTTTTGGTTACGCCATTGTTGCGGCAAATGAGCAAACAATTTTTTTTGTTGTTGATTAAACATTACTATGACGGTATTATAAATAAAATTTTTATATGAAAGAATGATGAATAGATGTATAATAATTAATATATATATAATATATATTATATATACATTATATATCATATGTGTTATATATATTATATATATACTATATATATCATAATGGTTATATATATGTGTTATAATATATATATTATATTAAATATATATACATATATATATATATATATATATAATATGTACGATATATAATAATATAAATAATAATAATATGTAATAATATAAATAATATATATAATAATATAAATATATATATATACATATATATATATATATATATATATATATATATATATATATATATATATATATATATATACAATATATATATAAAATATATATATATATATATAACGTAAATATCTATACGAATATATATAATAATATATATTATATGTATATATATATACCTTATGTATATATATATCCATAAGGTGGCAAATAATTTCAGGAATGATTCTTTAATCAATTTCCAAAAAATAATTTGCCACTTTATACAAAACACCCTGTATATGGTGTATATTATTATTAACATTCCTCACAGGTATTATCTGATCATTTTTTGTGAATTTTAAAATTTGTTAAGTAAAAAATATTAAAATTAATTTTCCTTTTTCTATAAAACAATTACCGTCGTTTATCTTTTCTATATCGTTGTTTTATTATATTTGATTGATCAGTTCCACTGGTCCCAGGAACAGCATAATTTTCATTTATTATTTTATTTTTTATTCCTGATGATGTTGATTGATTTTTATTCATAAATTTCTTTTGGCAATTTTTATGATCATTTCCTACTGTATTACATTCTTCACTGTCATCAATGAAATTTATATCGATATCTGAATCTGTATCATCATAATTTGTTGGTGTAATATCAGATTTTTTATTTATTAAAGTATCATTTTTACCACCATCACTTGAATGACGTCGTCTTCTCTGATAATTTTTATTAATATATTGTATTTTTTCTGTATTAATTTCTTGATTTGGGTTACGTTTTAAATTAACATTTTCTGTATTAATATTTAAAGATATTTTATCATCATTATCAACAGAAATATCATAATTTTCATCATCATTAAATTCATCTTCTTCGTATACAAAATATTGCATAGAATTTTCTGAATAAACTTTTTCTTTTTCATTGCTTCTTTTTAAGGATTTTGGTTCAATATGCTGTGGTTTAACAGGAAGTGATATTGATCGGGATATTTTTGTTGAATTATACATTTTTTTTTCTTTGCAAATTATTTGTTATATAATATAAATATTACAAAAATAAATTAATTTTTTTCTTTTTTTGTTTTTAAATACTTTAATTAATACTTTAAATTTTTTTGAAATTAATTTTTTTTTTGAAATTACAAATAAAATGTAATTTTTTTAGTTCATATATTTAAATAAAAATTTTTAATTATATAAATACTTTTCTTATCACAAAATATATGTACATTATTTTCGTTTTATGAGAAACGGTAGTACAATAAAGATTGTATAATATTAAACATAGCTGATGATAATTGCTCAGTTTCAGTTTTATTTTATGTGTTATACAATATATTTATTCAAAACTGAATTTCATTTTAATGAAAAACAAATAATCGCTTGTTTATTGTGCTCAATTCGAAATTTAAGTACATGTAAGTATTCGAAGAGAAAAAAAATATAGGTTCTTTTTCTTATAAATAATACAAGAGCTTTGCAAGCGTTGATGTTGTGCTCTATTTGATAGATCGTTTTGAACTAACTTATTAAAATTTAAATTTGTTGTGAGAAAAACATATGTACATACTCTGATTAATTATATAAATCGTCAGATCCACATTCTTTAAAAATTCGCTCGCTCAGCACAGTGTAGCACTTGTATATACGTAAGTAGGTATGTAAATATCATTTAATAAAATCATTGCCTCTTCGTTGCTTGAAAATTTATTATAAACCGTAACATTTTATATTTAGTTGTGCTATATATTTTCTTAGTGATGGTTGAAATACATGAATACTTATAGTTGGTAAAAGTGTAGAATCTTTTGCCAGGTAATTTGATATGCACATACATACAAAAGTTATACCATAGTTGTTTTGTAAACATTTTTAAAATTTGCGATAAATTTTATCTTGAATCCTGTCATATTAAATTTTATTATTATTTTAAGAACAAGAAGATAAAATATAATTTAGTTAAAAAAATAAATCGTTTAAAATAAAAATTTTCTTATTTCTATAATTTAAATTACAATATGTATACATATGTATATAAGATAATAAAAACTTTTTTTGATTTGTTAACGTTTTTATAGAATAAGATTAAACAAATCAAATGGAAATTAAAAATTTTGTTCGGACCGTTGTTATAAATATAGGTTCCTATATGTATATTTAATTGCACGGGACAAAAAATTTAAACATATAAATATATATACCTAGAAATATTTATATAATATAATATTTAAAGCTTATTCATTTATTTGAAGCAGAAAAAATTATGCGATTTATATAGCTATACATTTAAAAAAGGAATTTTTCTTCTACGTAAAATTTGACTAAAACTTTGCTAGCACTCATAAACGGACATATTATTATATTATACAATATATGAAATCTGTAAAATATTCATTATATTGTTATAAAATACATAATAACATTTAAAACATGTAAAAAAATAATCATTTGAATTCATCTTTTGAAATGAAAATCATTTTTGAATAAATTTAATTCCATAGTTTTGACATGTATTGCAACGTTTATTTGTATCGAAAACCAGTTTAGTATCGATTTATGTTGAGTATGACACATCTCTACATATGCTTCTGAAATAAAGTGTCACTGTCATTCAAAAAGAACAAAAATATCGAAATGGAAACAAAATAAAATGTTATTGAAAAAAATTTTAAGTTAATTACAAGTTTTAATAATTGAGCACTATTGGATTAAAACTAAAAGAAGACAATTGTCAAAATGATAAATGAAAGTTTAATATTTTGTGTCGGATTAGTTATATTCGCAGCTATTTTATTTCTATTGATTTACTATGTAAGTATGCATATGTATGTATTTGTAAGAAGTTTTTATCTTTAGATGCATTTGCAACCATTAATATTAAAATTTATTTTAGATTTTAACATTTGCTGACTTAGAATGTGATTATTTAAATGTTCGTGAATGCTGCAACCGTTTGAATTTTTGGGTTATACCAAAATTTGGAGTTCATGCAATACTTTGTGTTTTACTATTACTAGGTGGACACTGGATAATATTCGGTTTGAATGCTCCAATGGTCATATGGCTGGGATTAGAGCTATACAAAAGACCACGAGATAGCCTTGGAGTCTATGATCCAGTTGATATTCATAGTAGAGGTTTACTCAAAATATATTTACGAAACTGTTTGATATATTTGGGATATTATTTCATAATGTTTTTCATATTTTTGTATTGGTAAGCTAAAAATAAACTTAATCTTATACTAATATTGAAAACTTATCATATTTTTTTTATATTTTAGTTTTATATCGTCTCTGTTGAAAGGAGACCCAATCAGAAGACATGAAAATGATGAAATTGTGACAGAATTTTAAAACTTCATATTTTTACTGTTTTTTTTTTTTAATTCAGGTGCTAAATGAAGGCATTTCTTCCTTATGGATACGGTTTCGTTTTTTTTTTATTTTGTTTTTTGGTAGATTCCTACCTATTTGTAAATAATTGTGTTTATAAAATATCTCAAGTGTTTTATTATTTCAATTTTTTAGATATTAACTTAAAAATTCGAAATCGTACACATCCTAAATTTAATTGATATCTCAAATAAATTATTGTAAAATACCGATTTTATACTATGTATACAACATCAAATTTATAATGAAAAAATATGACAAAATACAAATAGAAAATGCTCAAAAAACTCTATTTATATATTTTAAATTAAGAATAATGAAAAATTAATGTAATATCTAAGTTTTTTATATTATTCTGTTTCAACTGTTATCTTCATTTATAAATTTAATGCGTATTTATTTTATTTATTTCATATTATTTAATTTTAAGTTCAAATATAATTTAATAGCACTTAAAGTAATTAATTTGAAATATTTAAAAAAATTTTTTATTGTTATTTCTATTTTTTTGTTATGAGATTATTAAGTTATTTAACTTTCGTACCCATATTAATTTGTGTAACAGTTTTAATTAATTTTAACTACTTTAATTTACATTTTTGCCTACTTTAATTTACATTTTATAAACATAAGTATAATTATTTTAAAGTGCTTTAAACATTTGTTTCATATGTAATATATTATTTATTACCTCAAACAACTAAACAGCTTATTGTCATAAAATAAGTTTTTTATATTAAATTATTTATTTCTCATTTTAGTGAATCTTTACTCTTATAATTTAAGTAAAATTTTGTAAATCTAGAATAATATGCCAAAGAAATAATAAATAAATAATGATTAATTTAAAGTTTTGAACTAAATTTCTGAATTATTTAACAATTTTTCGCTGTTTTCAAAAATTAATTTTGAATAACCAAAGAATTTAAATAACTGTACTTAAGCCTAAAAAAAGCATTATCAATAAAAGGTCTCTGTTTATTTACATATGTACATATATACATAAGTACCTGAATTTCAGATTATAAAAGATATATTATATGTATATGTATATTGTACAAACATAGCTACATAAAACATAATCTATTGATATTGTTTTTGTTTTTAAGTTTTCTTTTATAAAAGCAACGTGTACCTTATATATCTTTTCTATATTTGTTTTCCAAAATAAAAACAAATTTTTTTGTATTATCCTGCATCTCTAAAAAATTTTTAAAAGTTCAAATACGCAACTCAATTTCCTTTTTTTTTTGTTTTTGTTTGTAAATTCAATACATAGATATGCCATGGTCAAAGACGAATAATTGTAGCATCGATGATTAACCAAATATAATGCTTTTGAATATAACATATACCGTTATGTTTTGTTCAACCAACACATACAACAAGTATATTTTCAAATAAAATTGATTTGGTAAATTAGTACCTGTTAATATCAAAAGTAAAAAAAAACAATTTAAATAGAGTAACAAAAAATAAAAGGAAAAGGAAAACTAATTTCGAAAAATATACATAATACTCACCAATATTTTAAAAAGTTGACCGGGAAAGCAACAAGCACTATAAGTTAAATATTTATATATATAGCTATATTTAACAGTTCCCCTTCGTTACAACTATAAATTTTTGGATTTATGCATAAATACATACATACAAAAATATTTTTCCAGATTTGTGAACAGAATTTTCTTTTTATTTACAAAAATTATATAAATATAAGTACCTATATGAATTTACCAATTCCGTTTTGTATTTAAGGATTTTTTATTTACCAAATATATATATTAAAAAAAATATGTACATAAATGTTGTAATATGCAACAAAACAATATTCGAATATCATAAATGCGCACGATCTATATTAGAAACAAAAAATTATTCTATGATTGTGTTCTTCATAGAAAGAAAGGGTTTCTCACATTTTATGAAAAAAAAAAATATATAAAAATGCGAAAGGGCAAAAGTAGACAAAAAAAATGTAAGGTAGTGTGCATTAGTCAACAGCCGGAGGTTCAACAGGATATTACTATTTTTCTTTTTCTTTGTATTTCTCTTTTTATTTTATGTAGAAAAGTTTTTTTTTATAAATTTTAAAATAATATATAGAATTATTGTTAAAAATTAAGTTGGTTGGAAGCTTCTTATTCGAATACCGACATATATTGCATTTTTACATAAAAAATTCGCCTTTCGACAAATTTACATCAAAAGTTATACCTAATTATGTATATAAACTAGTTTTTCGAAACATTCATTTTGAAAGTTTATTAAACTTAAATCAATTACATTTTGTCAATTTTATAGAAGAATCGAAATGAATTTTGGTTTGAACACGTTGTATTCAAAAATTGTATACAATTATTTTACTTGTGACATAAGTATGTATGTACATATACTGGAATACATATCCACTAACCTATTTAAAAAAAAAGTTATATAACCAACGGATAGACTAAACTTATACAATGTTATTAAAACAGTTACGTTTGCGTACGTTTTCGATCAAAAATGAATTAAAATGTCATCGTCATATAATTCATAATAATTGGGCAATATTATAAAAATATTGAATGTCAGCGCCCTAGCCTAATTGTATATTTTGTAAATTTATTATTTTTAATTCTTATCAAGTAAATATAATTTTAAGCATAATTTCCATATGTATGCAATTGTAACAAAATATACATACATATATATATATATTGATAATAAACTTAATTTTCTTTCAATTTTACACAAACACTTATAAATTAAAGTTTGGTTATGTATGAATTTGTTTATTTTAATGTAGATAATTTGGAGAATACAAACATAATAAAAGAAAAGGTAGCAAAATAACAAAGAAAACAATAAATACAATGAAAAAAAATCTTAAATCACATGCGCGCTCTTTTAATACATGTAAAAATGTTTGAAAAACAAAAGGTTATTTGTAGAATAACTTAAGTATAATATTCAAATATTGGGCAAATAGTTCTATTACCGAGATGAAAATTAACAGCACAGCATTTTTTTTGCAAAATTTTCCAATTTTTATTTTATTTTTTAAATATTTTTGTTTTTTAAATTTTACTGGCAAATTTTTTTACTCTTGTTAAGCTTTTATTTTTAAGTCATATGGTTTTTCCTCAAAGCTTTCCTATTTACAGTTTTACACAAATACGTACACTCCATACATACATAGATGTGTTTTGGTATTATATTTTATTTATTCATGACCAAAAATAATAGTCTCAAAGCTACGATTGCATACATATTAAAAAAGTTGCTCTCTCTACGTTTTTGTGTTGGTTTTGTAATCTAGCTTGTGTTAGTAAATATACACACAAATTCACTCATTTATTTAGTATGTTTTCCACGTTTTTAGGTATCATTGTTAGTGTTGTTATTGCAAAAGGAAAAATTTTGTATCAGAAAATTTTATTAAAAATTGTATCAAAAAGAAATAATTTATAGATTAATAATATTGCGAACAATGGTATGTAAAAGTAGCATATTATTGCACACAAATTATTGCATACATCTAGGAGGAAAAAAATAAATTGTTATAATATCAAAAAGATAACATTTTTCGGTAAATTACCGTTATCATTCTTTAAATCTAAAGTACATAATAATGAAATAAAACTCATATACAAACATAGTTTCAAAGAAATAGATTAAATTGCTTTTAAAATAAAATAAAGGTTTTATGTATTTGTTTTCAACTATGACGAATGTTTCAGTTTCCCCGTACTGCGTAAAGGTAAAATTTAGCAAATAATCGTATAATTATGAATTATAAAATGAAACGCAAGAGCGTTTCCCAGTATGTCAAAGATTTGAAGATCAAATTAATCACTTTATTTGCTTGATTTTGCAGATCTGCAATTAAGCAGTTTTCATTCACAATTTAAAAATCATTTATGCAACAAACTTTAAAGAAATTAAAAAAAAAAACTAAAATAATAATCAGTTGAATTGTCAACGTATAATGAAATTTATTATACGCAAGTCATGTCGCATTGAATTTTATGCATAATATAAGTTTGCATGCATTAGATATGGATCTATACTGGGAAACAGCCTAGTATCACTTTGATACTTAAATATTTTTAAAATGTGGAACCACTAAATCTACTGATACAAATACTTTTTATTCAAACTTGTACTCACTTATAATAATATAGAGTAAAATGTGCAAAATCTTGTACAAACAAATACACATATGTATAACTAAAATGCTATATGATTACTGGTGATTGTTGAACTATTAAAAAAAAAATATATATGATTAGCAAATTTCTTTAAAAATACATTTTTTGCAAAATAAGAAAATTAAAAAAAAAAACAAAATTTTTGCTGTACGAATATTTTTATTTTTTTATCTCCGGTTGATTTTCAGAACAGAATCATTCAGTCAGTCTCTTTTTAATATTTTTTTTTTTTTTTAACATTGCTCCACAATTTTGCTCCACGTTATGTATTATGTATATGTGTTTTCTTTTTGAGTGGTCGCATATTTTGTTTGTGTATGTACAGAAGAGGAAAATTTATGTAGCACGTATACATACTAACACAAACACATTTATATTTTAAAGATAATTTTTTTTTTTTTTTTTAATTCACACATTTTTCTTGTATTCATTTTATTCAATTTTTGTTTTTGTTGTTATTTTACATTTCTGCTGGACTGGAGTTTCGAATTCGGCCGAATATTATTTTATTTGATATTCTCAAAAAAATTGGAATCTCGTATCTCACATTGAGTCGTGATGTGTTAAACCGAATGGTAATGGTATCGCGTCGTAAAAAAAAAAATTTTTTTTTTTTTTTTGCAAAAACAGAGTAATCTAAAACTTATTATTGAAAATAACCAAAAAAAAAAAAAGAAAAACTAAATAAAAAAAAAATTGTTTTAATATGAAATTTATTGTATTTTAATTAATTTATTAAAAAAAAAAGTAAGAGATGAAAAAACAAAATATAAATTTTAAAATTTAAAAAAAATTAATTGTAATTTAATCAAATTTAAGATAAAAACAAAAAAAAAAAAGGAAAAGAAAAAACCTTTAAGATAGTGAAAAAAAGTGAGCAAAAAAAAAAAAAAAATAAGAATAATAGCAATAATAAGAAAAAATTTTTTTTGCCTCTGCATACACATACATACATACATACATATTCATACATACAAATATAATTATTAAATGTATACATAATAATATTATTCTATATATGTAAGAATATTGAGATGTTTCATGTGTTATCAAGATTCTTATGAGATTTATGATGCAAAAGCATTAACAGTTAACAAAACAACAACAAAAACAAGATCAAATATAACAATAACAAAAATTATTTAATCTCAGATTTTAATTATGTACATATACTTAAAACATACATATATTATATATATACATATACATAACCTTAGTCATAAATATTTTTGTTTTTTGCAAATATAAAGCGTTATTATAATATTGTAAGTATATGTAAATATAAAATGTATAGATATTTGAACAAATTTCTTTAAAATTAATAAATTCTTATTATGCTTAAAAATTATATTAAGTATATACATAGTTCTATATAATGTAGAATATTTTACTACATTATCATAATCTATAATAATGTAGAAATTTAGAACAAAAAAAAAATACTACAGGTAAATATTTTAATTTATCCAAAATAATAAAATAAGAAAGAATGTACATACAATACAATACATACAATGTATGTGTATACATTTTGTAAATGTAAAAATTTTAAGAAAAAACTGTATGTATATTATCTACTCATAATATTCAGGAGAATATAGCTCTTATTTTTTTTTATTTCTATAATATATTATATATAAGTATATATAAATGCATATATGTATGTATGAATATAAATATTATATTTATATTATGAATATGTATAGAGTTTACATACATATAAATAATTCAATAATACAAATATAAAATAAAATATTTATTATGTTTACACGCAGCAGTCTTAAATTGAAACTCAACTAGATGTATACGTATACAAGACGTTAATCGATTTTCAAAACAGGAATTATTATAATTTTTGTATTTTAATTATAAAACAAAATAACAAGAACATATATATATACATATGTATATATTTAACAATTACAGAATTTTCTATGTTGAATTTTTTATTTTATTAATATAACATATTAAGAATATAATTTCTTAGGTATTCCTATAACTCAATTATAAAATATATTTCAAGCTTAAATACACCATACCCAAATATCAGAGCTAAAATAAATAATATTATAATTGAAAATTTTCAGATTATAATTTATTATTTTGGAATAGCTTTGTATTTGACAAAGATTAATCTAGGAAAGAGCCCGGTTAAATAAAAGGGGCAAAAAAGATCTCAATTCTTTACATATATGGTGTTGAAAATTAATTAATTGAATATAATTTTTTTTTATTCAATCTAATTTAATTCTGATTCTAATAATGGTCATAATGTACTATTAATAAAATTTTCATAACTAAATATTCTAGTTTAAAATTTAATTTTCTCAACATTTTAATTTTTATGTTTAATATTAGAATTTAAAATTTGTAATAGAAATTTGTGCTATAGCTGGAATTAAATTTTTATTTTTTCATAAGTAATTAAAAATTAAATAAAAATAATACCTTTTTTATTTCCATATTTTTTTTTATTCAATGCAATGAAAATATTTCGTTTTTCTTCCTAATCTACTGTCTGATCTACTGTCAAATTTTTAGAACAAATCATTTTTCTCTGCTTTCGTATTTTAAACTCTATTTTTTATAAGTCTGCCATCGTCTGCCAATATTAATAAATTTTATAACGTCATATAGTTTTTGCTATCATTGCTCTTTATTTTTATCATTGCTTTTTATTTTTATTAGAGTGCAGTTTTAATTAACAAAATCTTTTGCAGTCAGAAATGCGAATGCGAATTCAACGATTGTGTTATGAGCGTTTGCAAGTTTAGGTATAAATAAGCCCGTAATAAAAATTTTTAATTAATGATATTGAAAAAAGAAAACTTATATAATTATTAAATTTATTTTTACTTAAAATGCAAAATATTTTCTTCTTTTCAAGTATTTTTTTGATTTTTTTTAGAATATTTTATTGGTTTTTTTGTTTTTTACAAATGACTTATTTTATTAAAATAATTAGAATGAAAAAAAAGAGGCGGCATAATAAAAAAGAAAAACCGGATTTTTTTTTAATTTAACTTAAATATTGTCATAAAGAGGGCAAAATACAAAAACAAAAAAAAAATCGAATTTGAATTAAAAATTTTATTTTAATTCGGCATGTAAACATAGGAAATGTTAATTTTTTTTTTTTAATTTAAATGTCATTTACTATTTTTTTTTTGTTTTTCATTGTATTAGTTACGTTTAATATTATTATTGTATTATTTAATATTAAATGTCAGAATTTTATTTTGTTTTCTAGGTTGATTATAATTATTATTATTATGTTTTTTTGATTTTTGGTTTTAATAAGAATTGTTCAACAAATAATACACAGTATTTTCATTTGTCTATACATATACATATACACATACGGGAATATGCATCATTAAATAAAAATAAAGAAAAAATATTTTTATTATATTTGTAATTATTATTATTATTTCATTTATTTTATTATGATAATGGTGATAAATAAATATAAGTATAAGAGTATATAGAGAGGCGGGAAATAAAAATTTTATAATGAATTTAATAATTCGCTCCATAATGCTTAGGTGTTTAAGAAACAAATTGAACAATAATTTTAAAATTTCGTTTTAAAATTGTAATTTTTTTATATTAAAATATTAATTTTTAATTGAAAATAAGTAATCATTTTTTAATACAATATAATACCTACATCAAAAAATAAAAATAATTTATAATTGTTTTGTAAACTGAAATTAGTGTTGTGTGTCAAGTACAATATAGAATGAAGAAATTAATATATGTGACTGATGACAACCAATATTATTGTGAATGCTGTTGAAATTAGGAAGTTGCAAGAAATTTTAAGGTATGTATATTTCTATTGTTGTACTTAATTGACTTTTTGTATGCACATTAATAGCCATTTCTATATTAGTACTTAATTTATTAATTGTGGCACACATATTTTTTTAAAAAATGACTATTTTACATAAAATACAAATATGATATTGTTTTATTAATGGGTAAATTTCCACATTCTATCTGAAATTTTGTTAAACCAAAAAAATTTTTAAAATTCAATCAAAATCGATTTCATCTTTACGGAAGAAACAAGTTTCCATTCAACATAATAATTTTGTACTATACCTAAATAATATTAATTAAAGTTTTCAATTTGAGTTTTTTTTTAAATTTAAAAATGTCTTGTTATCTAATCAAAAATAATTTGGTTGATTTAGTTTATTATTCATTCATGTATAAAGAATATTATTTTTATTTTTGAAATATTATACACCTATTTATGTTGTTACATATATACATATATGTATATGTACATTTGTGTGTAAGTGTATATAATATTTTTATAAAATAAAATCTTATTAATTCTGAAATATTTCATTAATTAATTATTTTTGTTTTTTTTTTTTTCAAATTTTCATTCTATATATTGAAATAAATAATAATAAAAAAAAATTAAATATGTACAACATATAAGAAGCCAAATTACCTTGGCCTTTACTACAATGAATTTATTATATTTGAAATATAATTGAAAAAATAAATATTTATTAAAAATTTTGTTTTGTTGGTTAAAAAAGGAAAGTATGAATAATAAAATTGTTTATTATTGATTTGATTAACAATTTTTTATATAAAAATAGTATATAAATATGGCTAAGAAAATTATAATTGAACACACATAATTATTGTTATATATATCATATATAGATGTACATATATGTGCAAGTATGTAATTTAAATCAAAATTTTAAAATTACGTATATGTAGATACCTATAGGAACAATTTGAAAAATAATTGTCAAAATTTTAATAGCGATAGTTGATATTTTGATTTTCTGATCGATTAATAAAGTACATTCGATTAATTTAAAGAATGTATCATAGGACCATGACTGCTTAAACTTTTTGTACTATAAAAATCGATATTTTTAGATCCAATTACCTTGTGATCTAATCATTCAAAAAAATTTAATCGAATGATTCAAAATTATTGTGAATGCTAATTAAATTGGAAGTCTAAAATTAGTAAAGAATTGATGAATTATAGAAATTAAATAAATTTGTGGAAACAGGCAATAAAATCAAAAAATTTTAATTTCAAAGAATAAGTATACATACATACATACACATTTCATGGCAAAACAAATAAAAATACAAATTGTGCTAATAACTTATTTCTGAAATTTGACAAGATATTTTGAATGATTATACGTAATATTGTTCATCATAGTTTTAATTGAGGCAATATAAAGATCAACTAATTGATGACCCCGCAATCATCTTTGCGGGGTCATCAATTAGTAGGTAGTCATAATAAGGTGTGATTTCAAACATATAGAATAAAATTTTGAAAATTTTTTTTAAATTTTTTCTGTTTTTAGATTCTAGTAGGGCACTGGACAGGCATGGCCTATATCAAATTAAATATTATGTGCACACTGGTGCAAAACCGTATATTGTGTATAGCCCAATTTATATTTTGAGAATTGTAATGACCTCTTAGGAAATATTTTAACTTTTTAATAAGAATTACACAGATAGTGAACTGAAATTTAAATTTTTTATTATTGTGTGTACTTAATAATTATAAATATATATTTGAAAATTTTTTTATTGAGAAATATATATTGTCTTCAAAACCTATTATTTTATACATACATGTTTATATATATACATATATGTGTACTTAAAATTTTGTATTTAAATTATTATTAATGTTTATTTATGCAATGTTTAATTATTTTTTTTCAGTTTTAAACTAACAAAGATTTTTATTACGTTAAAATAGAAAACATGAATTTTTGAATTGAAATCATAAAATTTTTTTATTTTCAAAATTTTAAAACTTGTACATTACTTATATATTTAAATTTTCATAATTTAATTGTTTATTTTTATTAAAGATTTCATATTTCGAGTAAGTATATAAGTACGAATTTTGTATAAAAATATTCAAAATTTCAAAAGAGTATAATAATTATTAGATTTATTATTTCTTACATAAAATGAAAAATTTAAAAATTAATTTGACTGTTTAATATGATTTCCTATATAATTTCAAAAAATTTTTGTTTTAGTAAAGATTCCAAAATCTTGTATCTACATACATACACATGTCTGTATTTTTGGTTGAATTTATTATGATTTTATTTTCTATTTTTTCATTTATTAGTACTTAGAATAAAGGGTGAAAAATTGTTAATGAGATGAAAGAGAAGATATTTATACTAATATAAACTAGATGGCGGCAACAAACATTGTTAAACTAACAAAGTATTTCTATATATTTCTCTAATTACCTTAAATATTAAACTGACTACTTTTATTGTCGCATTAAATAATAATATTTAATTTTCTGTACTTATGTGTTTTTACATATTATTTTCAAAGTTTCAATATTATAAATTGTAATGGAATATGATGGTTGTTATTGCAATATTAGCCGCCGCTTTTAAATTTTTAACTTCGACTCATTCAGTTTGACACACTTATTGACAATCATTTTGAACATATACATATATACATACGTAATATATGTATGTATATTTTCAAAAGCTCCTATGTATTATCTCTTTTATATTAATAACAAAATTCTTTTTAAAAAAAATTTTAATTTCTAGAACAGTATGTACTTGTATAACATTACATTTTTTATGGTTACTATTTTCGAGTATACAAGTCTAATAATTGTTTTCTTTTAAGTTTAAAATAATATTTTTCATTAAACGCCTATACAATGTTTACTTTAAACTATAAAATGTACTCGTATATTATGATGACAGCAATTTTTATAAAAATTTAACAAACTTAACAACCAGTGGTGGTTTACCGCAAAAAAAATTTGATTTTTTGATATTTTGATATATTTTGTTATTTATACATATTTTTCCCTTTTCATTTATTTGATATATATGTATATATGTAATTGCCAAACAATGTAGCGCCATAAATAAGTATTGATTCATAAAAATAAATTTTTATTGAATTTTATATGAAAATGTAAATGTTAAGGGACGGGTAGGTAGGTGACTATAAAAAATATTGTTTACTACTCGTATATGATTAATTTCATTAAGCATTTTGTTTACTTATAATACTTATATACATATATATGTACATTATGCAGAGGTATGAGTATAAGTATAATATTTTTATGAATTAAAAGTTAAGAATCGAAAATGGGTCGAAAATTTTACATTCTTAGTATAATAATGCCGTAAAATATGATTAAATTTCATAATTTTAAGTTGTAAGTAAAACTTGTCATTTCTTATTATATAAGTTAATGTATACTAAAAAATTAACTCTATTCAAATCACTTGCTCATATTCTGCGTTGGGCAGTTCACGTCCAACTGTATGAGGGATATCTCTGGGCATTTACTTGGAGTATTTTAAGTGGGATATGGAGGACTTCAATAAGCTATGGCTGGCTGCACTGATCGAAAAGAGATTCCTTTGCCCATATTTTTCTTCAGTATTTGTAGATTACTACAATAAAATTAAAAAATTTTATGTTAATAATTTGATGAAATTCATGTTCTTTTACCATACATTATACCCCAAAAGTTACATAGTTAAATTATACTTAACTGAAGTTACATACAATTTATGTGTGATATAAAACTTCCTTTACAGATTAACAAAAATTTTTAGACTGCTTATAATAATATCAAAAATTTGAAGTTAATTGGGAACTATTGAAATTTTTAAAGTTATAAAATTTGAAAAAATTCTTTATAGTTTGTTGAACTATACATTCTTATATCTAAGTATATATTTATAGGAAAATATTTTTTATGTAAAATTATTTTTTAATATGCTTATATAATTGGTAATTTTTATTGAATATTAACTTGACCAGTTATTTTATTGTAAAATCAATACTTTATTACTGTTGTAAATATTCAAAGAGAATATTCATTTTATTAATAGATTTCTGTAGAAGATAAGAATATACGTTATACACAATTATATAAGTACATATACATATGATCATGATATGATTTTTGTGAAATTCAATATAAAATTCAAACTGATGAAGATTCCCCCATGTATATATACGCGTATATAATTGTATTAATAAAATTAAAGCAATTAAAATTGCTATAGGAAATAGTATAAAAATTTTTATATTCTTTTTTATCTCTAAAAATCAGATTAAAATAATAGTTTATATATTTTTCTTGCTCCTAAAAAATTTAGTGTTTTTACCATGTATATAAGGTCAACGTCTACTAACCCTATGTAGAGTATTTACCTGTGGACCGTGCGGTTGGCACATTAACGGGACGCTGTTTATTTGGGAAGATGGCAGCCGGTTGAGCATCTCCTTATCCAATGTTCGTCAGAGATGCTTAGGCATTGAATGACCGAAAACATGCAACATATGCTCTGCGACTGCTCCATTCTAATGCGAAGGTGAAAACTCTTTTTGGTAGGACATCAGTTTGATAGATTGGAAGAGGCCTCGAGGATGTCCGTAGTTTATCTGCTGAACTTGGTCAAGGACTTGTATGGATTTAGCGTTGAGACGTGTGTTGTGGGTGGATGCCGATGGGCATTCTATTTCCTTAGTGGTGGGAAGAAAATTAGCCAAATTACAAATAATAAATTTGAAAATAAATTTTTTTTTTCGGTTTGTGTCTTTAATTATGTCAATTTCTTTATTAATTTATCAACATCTATATACCACGAAATTGCAGTCACTTACCTTATACTAAAACAACCATTTTATTTATATATATATATGCGTCATACAATGTTCTTATATATATACCATAAACTTTAATATTTTTTACTATTAAGCCTAAATATTAAACAGATTATTTACAGAAACTAGTTT